AGCCAGGGCACCCGGTCCACTCCACTCCTCCCACCCCCATGTCTACCCCCTGCCTCCCCCCAGAAGTCTCCCCCCCCCCCAACCCCGTCACTCTTCTCTCCCTTCCCCTTCTGTCTTTCTCTCTCAACCCTCCCCCCTCTCTGTCTATAAACCTCTCTCCCCCCCTCCTCCCCCTAGAAGACCGTCCAGTGTGATGAAACCGTGTCATTAACAGGAGGGTTTCAGATCAGTCATCTGAGGAGGCTGGAGGAGCTGGTGGAGGCCTGATAAAGAGGCCAAGAGGATTTCCACATCATAAAACATACACCTAATTAGCTCTTAGACTGGTCAGGCAGAGCATTTAGACACACCTTCACTCACATACAGACTGTAGCCTATATATGCTGTATACAGTAGAGTCAGACTTCACAGGCCTTTCCAATGCCATGTGGAAGTAGCACAATGATGAGAATTTTGACAGTATCTAGGTTTCCATTAGATTGGCGATAGATTTTCATGCGGATATTCTAAAATCCACATTTTCCCGCCAAAGATGTGTTTCCATCAAATTGACTTGTTGCAAGTAAAAGGCTGTGCGTGATGTAGCGCACATAAAAATGACTTTTGAGATTCAATTCTCATGTACCGCATAAAAAAAAAAAAGTTAAATGGGTTTCCATGGCATTTTAAACTATACTGATGGTTTTGTTATAAAAATGTTTGCGTTATATAGGGAATTGTGCCCCAAGGTTTCCGTTTGGAAAATGTGATTCCGGACATTTGACCGGCAACATTTTCATTTACCCGGACATTTGAAAAATGTACCAGACTGCATATGCATATGGGTGCGTAACCTGATTAGGGCTAACACCCACGGTGCTTAGAATGACAGAAATAACATTTAGAATATGGTAATTAATATTAACAAAACATGCAAGCCGAGGATGCAACAATGTATGGTCCTTCCTAACGAATTCTGATGTGCACTTTGAACATGTTAGAATAACTGTCCACATTTACTATATCTTTCCTCATCCAACAAGACGAGTAACGAACAGCAAAATCATCACACACCATATCATCGTTTGACTCAACGTTTACTTCAACATAATGGTTGTTAAATCAATATATTTGCATGAAGGCATTTCCACCGCCATTTCCCACGTAATTAATTTGACAGACCCCAAAAGATCCCATCTGGCCTAGCGTATTTTGTTTTGTCGACATTTTGAAAGTTTACTGACAAATTTGCTGTTTCCATCAGGCCTGTCATTTAAAAAAATATACCTGACATGTACTTTTACTCACATAAATAGGTTGGATGGTAACCTGGTTAGTGGTAAGGCACCTATCTGTCGGTTATTGTGATACATTATTTTGTAGACAGTTCTTGATTGAATAAAAAAAAGAGCCCTTAATAAGAACCAGAAGACCTTTAATGTCCCACTGCTGGGCAAATTGGATTGAGATCAGATGGCTTCACTGCTTCCTTTGCTAATTAGCTCATGTGTTGTGTCTGACTCTATTCTAGCTGTATCTCTGTCAGTGGTCACACACACAGACAAGACAGGGAGATGACCATTTCTCTCTCTTTCTCTCCTGCATCTGCACTCTTTCTCTCTCTCTCTCTCTCTCTTCTCTCTCTCTCTCTCTCTCTCTCTCTCTCTCTCTCTCTCTCTCTCTCCTCTCTCTCTCTCTTTTTTCTCTCGTCTCTCTTCATTGAGTGAGCGATGTTAATGAACTGAGCTGGCAGCCTGCAGTGTGGTAGGGTTGAGTATTAATTGATGGCTGGCCATGCCACCTCACTCATTTAGAACAGCATTTAAATGAGGGGGGGATGTGAATTTACAACACAACAACAGGTGGCTCACACACACACACACACACACACACACACACACACACACACACACACACACACACGTACACACACACACAGACGTACATGTACAACACAACTGGCCGTTTTTTCTCTCTCTTTCCAGCAGGCTCTTGGAAACAGAGAACATTCAATAGATCTTTAATAACTGAGGTTTATTTGTGGACCCGCTCTTGTTCATTAATATGTAATTGAAAATGCCTGCCTTGAAAATAAGTCCCTCTTAATATATACGCATTTGGCAATGAATATGGGCTTCTTTGCACTTTAAATATCCAGGCAAATGTATTTTGAGTGCTTATGTCTGGCTGTAAACTGACTAGTTTTCCACTTTCAATTTTACCTCCCAATGGATTTCTTTAATGCAATGTGATTCACAAAGTATTGGCCATTACAGGTTTGTCCAACTCGATTTCTACCGTTGAGAATTTATTGAATTCATTTATTTAATTGTGTGGGAAACAACCAGGGGCTGTCCAATCCTGTGCCTTTTGAGGAGTGTTGTCATGATACCGGTTTTTCGATTTCGATACCGATACCAGGTTTAGTATCACAATACTCGATACCATCACGATACCAAAACGATACCAAGGGACGTCATACACACACACACACACACACAGACAAAGATGCTCGAGCAAAGATTATCTTGACTGGGAGAAATTGTGAGGGGGGGGGATGAAGTGAATGAATAAAGTTTTTGGTGACAATCAGCTTTGAAATCAGCAATATTTTTGCAGGATGGTTTGCCTACTGCATATTATCACAAACAAGGTACTAGGGTAGTGAATTGATGTTAGCTTCAGCTGTAAGCTAGCAAGGAGAGTTTGCCTACAAAGCTGGAAGTTACCGGTAACGTTATCTTCTTGCTTTGTAAAGTGTTCTAGCCTGTAGCTAAAGGACATTGTTTAGCAAACAGTAATGAACAGTTTTCAACATTTGTACATGCCGTTTTGCCGTTTAAGCGCGTTAAAACTTCTGTGCAGCACAAGTGGTGATGCAGCCCAGATTCCCAGTGAGTGCAGTGGTTCCTCAGGACAGGCTAGTCTAGAGCTAGCAGTGAGTAAGTGGAGCAGGCACCGTACTCTCGTACTATAAGGGGACATCGGCTGCACTTATAGACAGACTTGATCCTCTCTCAATCAGTAGACGCCGTGAAAAAACATTTGACAGATGTACCAAAAGTAAAACTAATTCTACGTTTCGGTATACCGTGCCACACCGCTTTTGAATGATTCTTTTTGAAACTTGACTAAACATTAACGGAACAAGAAAGTACATGTGTGTGTTTTTTGCCAGATGCTATGGAGAGCTAGGCCTACAGTGTATAACTATCCAGCCCGATAGCAGTGCTTTAGTTAGTGTATCCTCCCACATACTGTACGCCATGCCTTTGTTAGTGTGTTGTGTCTTGTCCTTCCTCTGAGGGCTCGGGGGGGGGATGGCGAGGCGGTGCAGTGCAGCAGGCTGTTGACCCTCTGTTGTCCACACACACACACACACACACACACACACACACACACACACACACACACATCCTGTCTATCCCTCCTTCAGTCAGATGCTGTCTCCCTCTGTCATCACAGGATACAGCAGTCTTGTGACATTGACAGGCAGGCATGGCCAGTGTGCAGCTGCTATAAATAGACTGCTGCTTGAGAGGGAGGGGGAGAGAGGGGGAGAGAGGGAGAGAATTCAGTAGGCTGCTCCTGTCCTAAAATGTCCCTTTTTACAGGCTGATTCTGATATTCTGATTTCATCTTTAGCTTTAGAAGACTGGTTTTCTAAATGTGTTGAAGCACTGGATTTGTGTCTCGTCTGAAGATCCTTTGAAAGTGTTTTGTTTTGAGGAACAAGCTTTTTTGCGTAAAGTGTTTTGTAATCTAACAGCAATTTCACAACCCCCATTGCCTATGACATGAACTCTGGGGTGTAAATATCATGATTATGTGCACCTTTGGTTAGGTTATTTGTATTTCACATAGAGCACAACACAACAATGTTACGTGATTTACACTACTGCTGCAACACTAGTTCAAATGTAACCACATTTTCACAAAGTTACAAAGGTTCAATATTGCAAATTCTCTTCATCTTTGTACTAAGTCCTAATATTGAACAGAACTATCGAATAGAACGTGACAGTAGAGCGATTCTCGTGTCTTTCTCGTGACGAGTCCAGGGGCGTGTAGTGACGCTGTGTCCTGTGTTCGTGTCCCAGTTAGGTGCAGCCAGTTTATCAATAACTACTAATAGAGTGGTGTTGGTGGACAATAGGTTGTTGTCTGTGTGCCTGTGTGTGTGTGTGTGTGCCTGTGTGTGTGTGTGTGTGCGCCTGTGTGTGTGTGTGTGCCTGTGTGTGTGTGTGTGTGTGCCTGTGCGTATGTGTGTGTGCCTGTGCGTGTGTGTGTGTGCCTGTGTGTGTGTGTGTGCCTGTGTGTGTGTGTGTGTGTGTGGCCAGACCATTGCTGAGGCAGGGCCGATGTGTATTATTAGAGTGCTGGTGCTGCCGTGATGACAGGAGAGAGCATGCACCGTTGTGTGAATTTGTTTCCTGAGGAGCGATGATCATCGGTTATCCCTCTTGGAACCATGCCTGTTTTCTTTCTGCCCGTCTAAACACACACACACATACACACACACACACACACACACACCTCTGTCGTCCCCCCCGCCCCTCTGGAATGTAGGACTATGTCTGGAATGGAGGTAGCCTATCAGTAGACCATAATGCACCTACTGTTATAGATGAGGACTATCCTTGTTTGCAGCGAAGCAAAGTAACTCTGTGTGTGTGTGTGTGTGAAGCCAACTCCTGTTCGAGGCTAACAGAATGAAGACCACAGCATAAAGCACCAATAAAGGAGTTGGTCAGGGAGATACTGGAGCTGCCAAAGGGATCTGTGTTTGCCTGTGTCTTTCCTTATCACTCCCCTGGCGGTGCAGTGGCACTTAGACCTTGAAAGAATAAAGCTAAACAAACACATATTTATATCAATCTCAGAGGAATAGGGGAAAAAGTCATCTTCTATTGAATAAATTCAATTCAAAGGCATTGTCAGATTACAAGTATTAACATCCTCCTCATATAATACAAATTGGTATTATATGAACTATAGAGCGGTTATTGTGATGGTGACTTATGGTTCCTTTTCTCTCCATCATTCCCTCCACAGATCTGGAGCCTGATGACAATACGTCGTTCTACATCCTCAATGTGGGCCAGCAGGTTGTGGTCAACAACCAGTCTATGGGCCAGTCACGCCATGGCAGCATGCAGTCTCACTCCCACTCCCAGGTCATCAACTCCTCCCCCCATCAGCGCCTGCAGTCCCACAAGGTGTACGACCCCAACTATGAGGTCCAGGACAATGTCAACAAAAACAAATACAGCCCTGCAGGTGGGGGTGGGGGGCCTCCCAAAGCCTTTGAGTGTCCTAGCATCCAGATCACCTCTATCTCCCCCAGCTGTCAGCAGGAGATGGACGCTAACGAGGATGATCTTAGAGGTAATGATGGGGACTACCACCACGGGGACCGTCCCCTGTCCAGGGACCACCTGTACTTGCCCTTAGACCACTCATACCGGGACTCAACTCTCAGCCCGTCCCCCTGCAGCTCCCTGTCCTCCAGGAGCTGGTTCTCAGACGCCTCATCCTGCGAGTCCTTCTCCCACGTGTACGATGACGTGGACTCTGAGCTGAACGAAGCGGCCGCAAGGTTTACCCTGGGGTCTCCCCGCACATCCCCTGGCTGCTCTCCTCAACCTGGGGTCCTGGAGGAGGGTCAGTGGGCCGGGCAGCAGCACCACCATCCTGCCTTTCACCACTCCCACCACTCCTCCCACTCCCTGTCCCCCCGCGCCTCCCCCTGCCACTCCCCACGCACCTCCGTCACCGATGAGAACTGGCTGAGCCCCCGGCCGCCGTCCCGCCCCTCCTCACGCCCCACCTCACCCTGTGGGAAGAGACGCCACTCCAGCGCAGACATCTGCTACCCGGTGGGCTCTGTGTCCCCACACCACTCCCCGATCCCCACCCCCGAGCCATCCCCAAGGGGCAGCGTGACAGAGGACACCTGGATAGCAAGCCCCTCCATGGGCATGTCCCCGTTCCAGTGCTGCCCTTCCGAGGCAGACATCCCCTCAAAGACTAGAAAGACGTCCCAGGATCGGACAGGCTCCATGGGGGGCAAGGGGGACCTGGGCCTGGATGACTCTGGGAACGGGTCCCCCCTCATGGACTCTCCCTCGGAGGACACCCTGCACTCCCTGAAGAAGGACGGGCCAGGGGAACAGTTTCTCTCAGTGCCCTCACACTTCACATGGAACAAACCCAAACCAGGACACACACCCATCTTCAGGTATGTCACTTCCTGTACCTGCCCTCTCAATCACAAATAGAGTTGGAAAATTCCACAAATTTACCCAGAAATTTCGGTTGGAGGATTCCCGAAATCAGGAGGGAATACGCAGGGAGGGAATCCTCCAACCAGGATATCTGAAAAACCAAGGAAGATATTTTGCAACACTAATCAGAACTCATCTTTGGGTTTAGTCCGCATTTAGCATGAATACACACTTATCAGAGTCATTAGTATTATTAGGTCAAGGTAGAGTACATGAAAGGTACAGAAAGGAACCTTTATGGGACCTTTTATAGGATTAGTGGTAAATTAACAAAATGTTCAGGAGCCTGTTTGATCCCGATAAGAGCATTAAGACACTGTTCCTACTAGTATTTTATGAAGGAAGATCATTACATTTAATCAAGTTTAATAGCAATAGATTACAGTTCACTCCTGGTTATGCAATGGCTTGGGACAGTTGGGCAAGCATTCCTCAAATTTGAGCTTGCAGTCGGATATCCAGAGCTCCAGAGTTAAAATTATGTAGCCTAATTGAATTAGAACAGGGGAACTACCCTGCACTTATTCTGCACCTATCAGGGGTGCACTATTGTAATATTCTGTGTCATATATAATATGACTCCCAATGCTCTCGAATTTTAGGTTCTGGGAAAGCTTCACAAGTCTATTCTTTAGTCACGTCTTTAGACGCACATGGCCTGAAACATTTAATGAGCCACAGAGACATGATGCCGCTGTTTGAAGTAGCACAACAGTGTAACATAAGGTTGTTGGTGCCTGGGGGGAAGCACATGCGCACGTCACACACACACACACACATATACTTTTTATCGGGAAATCGGCAACCAGAAGCTCTTGATCGTCGTGACGCACTGACTTCTATCAGAAAGAGAGGGTTAAAGTTTCCCTTCTCTGCTCTCACAATGTGTGCAGCAGATGAAGTCTCAGCTCTGGTCCCTGGCGCTATAAATCAGCACAGGTCACATATTGCTGAGGGGTCACACCACCACCATCTAACCCAGCCCTCCTTCTGAAACATCACAGTCTTGGCTGCCCATTCACAGACACCAGAAAGGGGTCAACAATGTACCTTGTTATAGTGGTCTAATGCCCTGCTACAAGAGTATATTCATATCTAGGATAAACCACGATGTATCAAATGATTAGTAGTTAGGACTAGAGTAGGCGTCCACTGTTGGATGTAGTGAGTGCTGTGACTGTGGGGTGATCTCTCCTGTCTGCTGTAGAAGGTTCTGGAAGAATCTCCCCCAGGTTTGTCACCATGATACCAGTATCGCGATACTCCAGAAGTATCGTGGCAATGAAACAAAACATGAAGCAGACATCATTTCTTGAGGAAAACAGTCCTATAGTAGAAAAAAAGTTGAGTCTGCTTCCTGTTCTTTTTTTTGCCAAGGAAAATCTGGTATCGTAGTATCGCCATACTGGTATCGTGACAACCCTAGTCCCCAGTCAGAGAAGCTGTGTCTGTGAGGTGTTCTGCTGAACAGATGGTCCAGGCGTCTGTCTGCTGGGTGGCTGTCACTGTTCAGTGGCTGGTGGTGGAGGAAACAGAGGCATGGCATGGGGCGGGGGGCTCCGAGTCTGAGCCTCAGACAGACTGGGGGTGGATTCAGGGAGCCCTCCCTCCCAGTCCCTCCCTATAGCCTGATCCCAGATCTGTTTGATGTATAGACAATTGGCATGACAATGACCATTGTAGTTGGCTACACTGCACAAAAAGATCTGTGACCAGGCTAGTCCATCCCACCTCAGGGCTAACCATAGACATACATATTCACATACTGGTATTCAGGTTGATAGGACATTTATTGGGGCTAAGAAAGGCTTTAGAGATGTAGAGGAGGATGTACAGGGGAGCGGCTGTAGGCCGCAGGATGTGACTGGTAGCACCAGGCTGGGAGCTCCAGAGCCCCGCGGTACGGAGCAGGATACCTGAGAAAGGTTACGCTATTTCAGGCCTCCGGCCTCTGCTCCAACCCGCTCCCTCCCTCCGCCCACCACAACGCTCAGGTTTTCCTAGCTACCAACCCCCTCTCCTGTTACTGTGGCCACTGGCCGGGGAAAACATACACTTCCGGTGTTATGTCGGTGGCATTGGAGGGTACGGGACAAGCCAATGTCACAGCCACCTTTGTTTTAGGCCTTAAACCTTTAGAGATGGCTTCCCAGACCTAGATTAAGATTACTTCTGGACTACAAAGCATGCTCATTGGAGAATCCCTATTCAAAAGGCTTTAAAGTCCAGGAATAGGCTTGATCTGGGTCTGAGAAGCCGACCTTTTATTTAGAATAGTCGTGACTCGTGCAGTACGTCTTTATAGTATGCAATGTGATAGTATTCATAGGGGCTTTCCTCTGCCATGTGCTGTGGGGGAATCTAGGCTACTAGGACAGGCTATCCTATAGCCTACTTTGATTCAAAATCGCTTGGGAACAGATGCTAGTGGTACAATACCCCTCATTGACCAAAATGTTAGAGATATGTGCTTCTATTTTTCTTCAAACGTCATACTTTCCTCTTGTACTTGTTTTTCTCATTCCTGTCAGAGGACAACAGTTTATTCAGTGAACCGGCTCCAAAGAAAGCCAGCCAGCACATTTCTCCCATTTAGCCTGACTGATGCTGTCCGGAGTCAGCCAGAAGCCCAGCTTCTGGTGGAGGCATGGAGTGGAGGGAAAAACTGACGGACTCATTTTTTACGCCTCTGTTGAATTCTTTTTGATTTCCCTGGCCTTTAGCAAGTTAACATTTTGATTTAATTTGGTGCCTGTGATCTGCATGCCGTGTGAGGGCTGAGTGGAGGGCATTTCTGTGTGGCATGTTTGCCTGGCATAGCATGGCCTGTTGAAAGCACAATTTTAGTTTCGCCACGAGCTGACAGGGGCACATAAAGAAACAATAGACAATGGTTAGTGACTTACCTTGACTAGCGGAGAAAAGAAGCCATAGTGGTTAGGCCAGCCTGCTTCGACAGCTTACAGTGGTGTGTATCATTCCTCTTACTCATAGGCCATGCACGCACCCACACACGTTTTATTTCTCCACTTGCATACTGCACAGTGCTGTGTTAGAGGAAACTGTGTCTCCCTGTAACTGTTAACAGACCAGGAACACCTGTATCATGCTGTATGGAACACATACTGAGAGCTCCTTAAAAACTGGCTCAATGTAGCCCAGTCTTTATAACTGGCTCAATGTAGCCCAGTCTTTATAACTGGCTCAATGTAGCCCCGTCTTTATAACTGGCTCAATGTAGCCCAGTCTTTATAACTGGCTCAATGTAGCCCAGTCTTTATAACTGGCTCAATGTAGCCCAGTCTTTATAACTGGCTCAATGGAGCCCAGTCTTTATAACTGGCTCAATGGAGCCCAGTCTTTATAACTGGCTCAATGTAGCCCAGTCTTTATAACTGGCTCAATGTAGCCCAGTCTTTATAACTGGCTCAATGGAGCCCAGTCTTTATAACTGGCTCAATGGAGCCCCGTCTTTATAACTGGCTCAATGGAGCCCCGTCTTTTTCATGAAGATACAGTGTGTATGCTAGTAGATTATGAATTACTAACAACCTAAATCGTTTTTACAATAATATGCCTAAATAGGTTTTTAGAACAGATTATTTCTCTCTAGGTTGTAGCTCAATAGAGCCATAGACCAACCAAGCTACCCAGAGAGACTCACTGAGACAGTTTGTCTGTGTGGAGGGGCATGGATGGAGTGTTTCTTTTTGAATGCAGCTGTTCAAATATGATTGTGCCCTACATAGATAAAAACACACAGAGGAAAAGCAGCCTGCAGCCTCTCCTGTGACACAGCCTCTCATCCATACTACAGTGCTGAACAACACAACCATACTCTCCATCCATCTAAATACTGTTTATAGTGTAAAACCCCTTAATGATTCACTACTAGTTACAGTCCCTAAATGAGCTATTACAAGTGTGATTTTCGAGTATGGTTAGCCTAATGTTTGTGGGAATTCCTATGATTCACTGTCTTTTCTGTCTGATTGGGTTGAACACATCACATAGCCTCTTCAGCCCCATTTAGCCACTGTGCTCTGTGTGTCACTCAGACCTAGTGTAGGCCTAGAGTGATCCTCCACAGTATTTCCAGAGGTCATGATTCAGTTCAACCTGTTGTGCTCTCACTTCTTTACAGTATTTTAGCATACATAATGTGTCATTGCATTGGTTCTTCCATTGGTTCTTCCATTGGTTCTTCCATTGGTTCTTCTATGTACTTATTATCTTTGATTAAGGGCAGTCAAACCTACATTTCAGTAGCGTATTTAAACGCACAACCTCTTTTCCCTGACCAAATACAATTGCGATAGTTGAGTGGTTCTGTATGCTCAAATTGACTCATCTTACAAGTAGATGCTCTTAGTTCTCAGAATAAGACATGTGGGTGTGCTGGCCTGGCAGTAGTTTGTAAACAGAGGTACTGTACTGTGCTGCCAAGGCAGGTTTGAATGAATCCAGACGGTTTAGCTAGCTCTAACCTGTCCCAGCTGGCTAATATGTTAGACCTAAATCTCTGATTATAGTCTTTTTGTCATCCATAGGATGAGTATGTAGTCACAGGGCTCACAGGTAATGTCTTCCCAAAAGACAATAAATTCTAGGTGATATAGGCTATATCTATTTGTTATCCATAGGATGAGTATGTAGTCACAGCGCTTCATAGATATCGCCTAGGTGATCTGTATCTTGTTGTTATCCAGACCAGCAGTACCCTTATTGTCTTATGTATCGGTTTGTCCCCAGGACCTCCTCCCTGCCCCCCCTGGACTGGCCCCTGCCCCACCAGTTTGGCCAGTACGAGCTGAAGATCGAGGTGCACCCCAAGGCCCACCACCGAGCGCACTACGAGACAGAGGGAAGCAGAGGGGCGATCAAAGCCTCATCGGGCGGTCACCCTGTTGTCAAGGTAAGACATATAGCTTATTGTAGTCTTTCCCCTAGATTGTTTTCCAGACAGGGCTCAAAGGCCCCTGGCATCAACATTGTTCATTGAAACCAATAGAAGCCAAACTGTTTTAGGCTGGGTGCAAAACAAAAGAGCTACTGAGCTAGGCGGGTGGACCTTCCTCACTAATTCACTGGCCTAGTGCATGGTCAATGAATAACCCATAGAAATCAGAATAACCAAAGTTATTACCAGCTGGTGTAACCAACCACACCTAATAACTGGCAAAACACAGGTCAAATGGCTCTTTAGGTCCTAGTGTAGGTCATGGCCAGTTTGTTGTGCCAATCTGTTAGCATGATGCCTGACTGCCCTGCATTGTGTTACATAAGGTAAACCTTTCCGAATCTAACCTATACCCCCAGGGAAACTATCACCTTAGTCACGTAACCATGGTGTTGGCGTGGCAACCTGGACGCAGGAAGTAGAACTTGAGAAACTCTCTGATGTAAACTACAAAGGTAGGGCAGCTCAGTTCAGTTCAGGAGGTGACCTGCATCTATACTGACAGTGACAGACCTCATTCAGATTGATAGACAGCCCGTGCCTTGTAGAATCAGGACTGGTGCCAAGACTGGGACGGTCACAGCATGCAGTACCTCAACTGTCAATTCATCAATTTATATAGCCGTCTAGGTTACGGCAGCCAATGCTAGTGAATTAAACTACAGAGAAGTGTCTCAGTTTACCTGGTGAGCGTGTAAGTATTATCAGACAATGACCACCCCACCCCTCCCTCTGTACAGGTAGAAAGGTAAGCTGCTGCAGCAGGCATGCCAAGCAGGGCAGGATACATCATCGGTGTCACCGTCACCGAAGCCCAATTAGTTTGTCTGTCATGTGAAACCCCTGGACACTGAGGCAGAGTGAGCCTCAGAGCTGGAGCAGTGAAACCAATAATAATATAATAGTAATATATGCCATTTAGCAAATGCTTTTATCCAAAGTGACTTACAGTCATGCTTGCATACATCTTACGTATGGGTGGTCCCGGGAATTGAACCCACTACCATGGCATTACAAGTGCCATGCTCTACCAACTGAGCTACAAAGGACAAGTTCCAAAGGTGCAGACCCTGCCTAACTACAACTCAACTCCAGGCAGGCTCAAGAAAAGGCTCCCAAGTATTTGAAAGATTTTTAATACTATTTGAACCGAGGTCTGTTACAGTACCTATGTAGCGCCACATTCCTGACCCAGGGCTCCCGTTCTGTTATCCAGCTGACAACCAGAGCAGAGCCAGGCAGCGGGTGAATATTTTATGCTCATGGGACAGGGATCCTTTGTGTGGTGACTGAAGCCAGGCGGATGGCATCATGGGCCATGACCACTGTTGTGTAACCCAACAATGCCCCTGCTTGGAGTGTGTGTGTGTGCATAACCCAACAATACCCCCCTTATAGGAGCCAGGAGACGGCTTGTCATTCCAGTCCACTCCCTCAGGATAATCTTTTAGTTGGGGTTTTAATGGAACTATACGCTGGTACCCACAGCAACCCCAATGTCATACTCTAATTGAAGTGACCTTTAAGAATGTGGACCAGAGTAAGACCACAGTTTGGTCTCCAGAACCGCTCATTTGTTAAATCTTTCACTGGGGTTGTCATCATTGGTTATTTTGATGCAAATGTTGTTGACCAGTTGTTCCATACAGCATATTTTCTTAAAAACTATGCCAACTCTCATCTCAGGGCTAGTTATACAGACTGGGTCCTGTTCCTCCACCAGTCAGAGCTAATGTTGAACCATTCCAACTGCAACCCCTCCAACTGCAACACCTCATTATACCCCACCATGTGTGACGATGCATAATTTAGCTTTCAAAATGTTGAACCCATACGGGCATTGGCTGTGTTTGCCCTCATTCCTAGTCCAGAAGGGAGCTATTTGGCTATAAGATAATTTCATTCCTTCTTTTTTTTGTATCGCTCCTCGCTTTGTCTTTGTGTGTGTGTGTGTGTGTGTGTGTGTGTGTGTGTGTTTTTGTGTGTGTGTCTTGTCTTCATGTGTGTTATGGGGCACCAGACCAGTGTAACACTAGGAGCATGTGAGGATAGATATCATCTCTGGTCAGGCAGGTCTAGTGGTGTTGTCCTTGTTTACTAAACAGAACCTCCTCATTGTTTCTCTGTTGACACTCTGTTTCATGCCCCCTTTAACACCGTGTGACCAAGAGGCTGTCCTATTATATTTGTTTTCACAGAAACACTGTTGTTTTTATTACAACCTAAACACCTGCCTTACTGATACAGGTCCAAGACACAATGTGCTGCTAGAGTATTTACAAAAAGTCTCAGGTAAGAAGTGCTGATCTAGGACCAGGTCCCCAACGGTCCAGAAAATCGTATTCATTATGAATTCATGATGTAAAAGGCAAAACTGATCCTATATCAGTGAATATACAGCAGGCCCTGGTGAATAGGGATGAGTCATCAAGGGTCAGTCACTAGGTTAACAACAGACTGACTAACAGCCTTTTCCCTCCAGGTGTAGGTCTGTAACTAAGCCTATAGTCCCTAGCCGTAGGAGGACATTGGTCCCTCAGTGTCTCAGTGTGTCACTGCATCCTTCTGCTCTCAATGGCTCCATGGGAGCGCCAGTCTTCCTGTGGGGTCCACTGACTCAGGTGTTGGGACTCGTGATGTCATCAACTGACGCAATGACTGCCATCTGGCCGTGGTGTGGCCAGCTTCCTTTTGTGACTGTTGTGTTTGTTGTCTATATCAAGACACACACACACACACACACACACACACACACACACACACACACACAAACACACACACCCCAGATCAAGGAGCCACAGAGCTGCTATGTCAACAGAAACAAGAGCATGACACTGGGAAGGGGTCCATGGTAGAGCCCTGCACAGGCAGGAAATTGAATCCCGAGCCCTACCCATGCCCTACCCTACCCGGGCCCGATTGCTTCTGACAAATTTAAGGCCCTGCCTGAACCCAAAATCAGAAATACATTTCTTCATGAGCTGCTCATCTCTGTCTGTTCCCCTGCTCCGTCCCTGCACTGCACTGCATCTGCTCCATGCGCTGTCTGCGTGTGTGAGTATCCATAGCAACGCCCCAGCTTGGGCTGCTCACGAGAAGTGGTAGAGCTGTTAGCTAGCAACTTTTCGTTACTCTAAACTCCTACCAAAACTTCTGTGAAATAATATCTCCTGTCGACTCGGACAATGTTCTGGTTTTATATTTTATAAGAGGTTGAAGCACTTCTGACACCATGTTATGATAGTAAGATATGACTGTACAGAGACCCTGCACAGCAGAGCAGGAGGGAGCAAATGGCTCAGCTTCAAAATGTTAGTGATCAATTTAATCATTCTTGAAAATAATACCCAAGCCCGGCCCATACCCTGGTAGATGAAAAAACGGGCCTTAACCTGATGTATAATGTTGGGGCCCTTCAGGTTCGGGTCAGGTAGCATAACCTAGAAAGGGTAAGCTGCTGCAGGGCAGGAGAAGAAGGACAGACAGGGTGTCTGAGTGTGTGTGTGTGTGTGCGTGTGTGGTGTGCGTGCGTGTCTCCCCCTCAGCCAGCCAGCCTACATTATTCATGCTACTGTATCTGCTTTATGCTAATTGTACCGGTCCTGTTCCTGAAGCGCTTGCTGGCTTTTCCCCCTATTATCTCTCTCTTTTTCTAGACTCTCTTTGACAGAGCCCAGTTTATATGGCAGAAGCCAGCCAGGCTTTGTCTGTTGTTTTCTCTGATCACAGTGGGCCACAGATGAGCAGTTATAATGGTAGATGTTGTGTCCCTGAGGCGGGAAGCTGTTAAAATATCCTGGTCCTCCCACCACCTGAAAGGGAAAGGTGGACTTGTCTCTGTTTTCTGTTACTGTCATGAAACATGCTTTTACTGCTGTATGTTGACTTGCTGCAGACCAAAGTAAAAGAAAGGCAGCTTTAAGGCATGCCATTATATAGGACTAGTACTACACTGATAATGCAGCTCACCTAGTTTGAGCAACAGGCGTTTGTTTGCTTGAGGGGCCTCATCGTAAATTAGTGGTTTTATTTTATCCCCCATATTGTGTAGTAGATTTGAAAGTTCAAGAATGGTCGCTAGCTATAGGGTCTCCTTCCCATAACCCCAAGGGTCACCAGGTTATCAGGCAGGGCAGCGTCATTTAAATGAGAGGAACATGCAAGACTAACTGATCTTATCCACACTGTGATCAAACAGCCACCAAACTGTTCCCATGGACTTACATGCACATACATCTCCTACCATAAGTTAATGAGTAATATAAAGGAGAGTCAAAAATGAAAAGTCTCCTCAGTCCGTGTCTCCCCCCCCAAAATAAACCATAGAGTGCAACAGAAAGAAAGCCATGGGTCTGCATGTCATAACAGTAATCTTCTAACTAAAACCTACAGTAGCCAGACAAACAAAAGCGAAACAATGTGACACTGTTTACATGGCACTGTTTGGACAGAGGTGATTCATACCACTGGGTTCTGTGTGGAATGCTGCTTATTCCAGTGGATACCACGCTAGGCTATGCTAAGCTAAGCTGTTCTTATGTAAACAGCCTGGGTTATGCTAGGCTAAGCTAGGGCTTCTCCTCAGGGGCTAGCCTAACTGCTGGGCAGGCAGACCATAATTGTAAGGCACACCTGTTGCTAGGAGACGGGTAAGTCCAAAGCCTCTGGCTTAGGAATCCGTGTGCGTATTTAACCGGCCTAATTGTGCGCTTGCTGCTTCGACACAAAGAGAAGGAGATCCACAGTGTTACACAGTGGGCCATGGATACAGGGAAACACGCATGCAGGCAGGATACACACACACACACACGTACACACACACACACACACACACGTGCACACACACACACGTACGTACACACACACATACACATACACACTTTTACAGTATTATTAGGTAAAAGGCTTCTGTAAACAAAAACATTAAGGCTAAGTTTCTAAATATAACATGTTTTATATTGCAGCCCTTGCATTTAGTCTTTAACGTTCAGCCTTTTTAATAACTCTTAATGAGGCCATGGTGTCTGATAATGGGATTTGAAAGGCAAGATGGGCTGAGGCTGTCCAAGAGCGCATTATGTTTCCCTCTCTGGCCACACAGAATGATTGTGATACATCACGAACCCCCTCTCTGACTACCAGTGACTAGCTGTGGTTCTATTTCTATACAACATAACCATCAGCTTTTGTCACATAATAAAGCATGTGCCTTGCTGCGTTGTCACTTTTCTACACCAGTGCTCCTCTGCTCCACTGTGTGTAGTCTTTATTCCTCTGTGTTGTTGTGGCATGCCTTTGTTGACTCTTTCAATAGGTGTGGATGGGTAATAAAGAGGGAGACATGCGACCCTCCTCTCCTCTCCTCTCCTCTCCTCTCCTCTCTCCTCTCCTCTCCTCTCCTTCCTCTCCTTCCTCTCCTCTCCTCTCCTCTCCTCTCCTCTCCTCCTCTCCTCTCCTCTCCTCTGCTCTGCAGTTTGCACTGTGTGAACCGACCGGAGCTGTTGTCCTGCCCCAGGCTCTATTTGATGTAAACATGATGTAGGCTGTGAGGCTCCGCTCTCATTTCATGTAATCAGGGTTAGTGTACAGTGAGGGAACTGGGGGGTGGGAGAGAAAGAGAGAGCGAGAGAGTAATGTTTACTGTTCATTTTTGATTGTTTATTTCACTTTTATTTATTTCACTTGCTTTGGCAATGTAAACATATGTTTCCCATGGAGAGAGAGGGAGAGAGAGAGGGGAGGGGGAGAGAGACCTTCAGCTTCAAGTAGAGGGGAGAGGGAAAGGGGAAAGAGAGACTGAGCTTTGAGCAGACCTGCAGAACCATACTCTAGCTGAGGATACAGTAGACGTTGCTCTGCTCTGTGTGTGTATATTGACCTTGTTTAAACAAACGGCTGTCTGGGCCCTGGTGTGCTGGCTACAGGCCTGTATGTGAACAGGGCTGTGCGCGTCCGTGGGCCCTAGGCCGTGTCAGAGACACCACTGGACGTCATGGGCCAGAAGCCGCCCATGACCTTGACCACCGCTGTTCCCGCTCCTACATCTCTCTCTTACACACACACACACACACACACACACACACATACACACACACACACACACACACACACACACACACACACACACACCCTCTAAGGGCTGTTTACACCAGTGTGAGAATGCACTCATATATACACACACTCAAATACACATGCACAGAGCCTTGCCATGGCAACACCAGAGAAACACAGGGAAACAACTTGGCAGAGGCATGCGCCTAAAGAAAGTGTTGTGTTACAATAGGGAGGGAGGTAGAGGGTCGGAGCTGAAGGGGGTGTGGAGGAAAGGGGAGGGAGGGTGGATTTAGGCATGATGAAACATGCCGCTCTCACTGTGAAGTTTGGCGGGCTACGCTTCTGTTGGTGGGACTTCGCCCAGCCCTAGCCCCAACCCAACCCATCCCTCAACACTTGTGTTTTGCCTTTTCATTTTTGCAAATGTCAAACATTTGAGACCGGGGCTGTTTTACATTTCTCCTTGTTGCATGTCACCCTCTTCTCTCCGGGCCCCGCTGGCCAGGCTGTTTTCTCTTCTAATACTGGATCAGTGGAACAGATGCCACTGAGAACCAAAATAAGCCTCTTTATTTAGACCTGAATCTGTAACGGTATCCAGCAGTTTTATATTTAGGTAACCTAGCAGGCAGCCTATGGTTGTGTTCCAAATGGCATTATAGTCCCTACATAGCGACATGCTTTCGACCAGAGCCCTGGTTGAAAGTAGTGCACTTACTGCACTATGTAGGGAATAGGGTGCCTTTTGGGATGCAGACCTATATCCAGCAGCAGCAGTGCGGCGTGTGTCAGACATGTGACTGGTATTAATGTCAGCAGGTTTAATATGACTACTGATTGACATGATCCATCAGGTCTTATTGACCATCTGGTCCCAGAGGATTTGAGGAGGTTAAGAAAGTGCAGAGACCACCCTCCCATAGTATTTCACACCAACCATGGATTTGGTGGGGGATGTGAGGCGAGGAATGTGAAACAAGCAGGCAGAGGGTGCGTGTGTGTGTGTGTGTGTGTGTGTGTGTGTGTGTGTGTGTGTGTGTGTGCATGCATGTGTGTGTCTGTGTGTGTCTACTCTGCGTGTGTCTACGTGTATGTGTGTGTGTATTTTTTGCTTATTCGCCCTTGCATGTGTTATGTGTTTACATAACACTTTGCGCATTACAGTATTTGGAAAGGTGTAGCCTAGCCTTGCTATGATGTTGGGACTGAAAGGTGTAGCCTAGTCTTGCTATGATGTTGGGACTGAAAGGTGTAGCCTAGCCTTGCTATGATGTTGGGACTGAAAGGTGTAGCCTAGCCTTGCTATGATGTTGGGACTGAAAGGTGTAGCCTAGCCTTGCTATGATGTTGGGACTGAAAGGTGTAGCCTAGCCTTGCTATGATGTTGGGACTGAAAGGTGTAGCCTAGCCTTGCTATGATGTTGGGACTGAAAGGTGTAGCCTAGCCTTGCTATGATGTTGGGACTGAAAGGTGTAGCCTAGCCTTGCTATGATGTTGGGACTGAAAAACGGAAACCGCAAAGAAAATAGTTATTTTGGATGTAGCTTTAAATGTCAGATGTTGCTAAATTAGTCGGCTCTGTCTTCTGTTTCTGTTCTGTTTGACAGTGTGGTGTTGACTCACTGGGAGTGCTGAAGTAGGTATTTTTCAGACCCTAATCAGTTTTACTTCCTGTATTATTTCATTTGACAATATGGTGGCTCGCTACCAGACCTGAGCCTCGTGTTGTAGACTCTAGAGACTGAGAGGCCTTTGTGTAGTAGGATATCTTTACAGAAAGTTATACTCAAGGATGAGCTGCACGTGTTCAAAGTATTTTATGTGTTCAAAGTAGTTTGTTTAGAGACGCGAAAAGCACCACAGCGCGAAACATGGTTTCACAAAACAATAACAATACTTGATTTCTGACCACGTTTCGTGCTGTAGTGCTTTTCACGTCCCTCCCTCCCCCCTCTCTCTCTCTTCCTCCCCCCCCACGCTGTCACAGTTTCACAGAAACATCAAGTCGCTAAATCATGTCTGGAACACACATGGTGTGCTGTGAACAGTGAATGAACATTACAACGCCACACACACACACACACACACACACACACACACACACACACACACACACACACACACTCCCTCAGTCTGTCTGCACTCACTTCCATAGTCCGCTTTCCATATCTATACTAGTAATGACAGACCGGAAGGCACCCATAAAACCAAGCCTAATGACTTTGAGCTTTTTGAAAGTAGGATTAAGGTTTTGTTTACAACCACAGGTTATTGTAATGATAATATAGATGGATAATTATCACTAGTTAGTTATTAGATGTATTTCACGTTGATATGGTTCTCTAGGGCTTGAGGATGACCCCATAATAGAGGGATATTATACAGGATGTCATGTTGATCGTATAAACTACTTTCAGCACATCTTAATATATTCAATTGCCCAAAAAGCTTTTTTGACATTTTGAGTTGCAGTCAGAGTCCGCACATCCATTGTCTCAGAGATTCGTTGCACTCTATTTCTTACGAGGCTTTACATTTCTGCTAGTCTCACCCGGTACCCTACAAAGACTAAACCAGTAGGGACAATGTTAGTGACTTCCACTATAAAGAGTAGGCCTGTAGGGACAACATTAATAACACTATAACAGCTGTGTTTCTGTACTCAGGTAGGGTTAAATCAATGCTAGTTCTCCTATTTGCAGCTGTAAGAGGCCATTAGTGCACCTCTCTTCCTCTCTTTAAAAGCTCTGAAGAACTAATCCATTACTAGGCTGGACTGTTCACCAACCCTGTCCGCTCATCAGGGTGCCAATGTGTTGTGGATGCCACAGGCCCTATCCCTGACTCTGGCTTTGTTTCGATGGGCGAAATGGCACTGCCTCTGAGGCTGATTGTCCGAAGTGTGAGTGTGTGTGCGTGTGTGTGTCACAGCGAGACAGGGATGTGACCTCGCACACTTCGTCCCTGCCATCCAAAAGCCTCTTAGCGTAGTCAGGGCAGTGTCAGGGAGGAGTCAGATGGTCTCCTAGGTATCAGCCTGTAGCCCGTAGGCCCAACAGGAGCAGGCTTAGAGGGCACACACACTTCCAAGACATCCAGCTAGGAATGACTTTAGGGGGCTTTTCCTGTCCCTTTAAGTTCAAACCGAAGCCTGTGTGTGGCCCTCTGCCATGTGCTCTTATGTGCTCTTTACTTAAAGGCCATGTGCCATTGTTCTAATGCATGCAATAACAGATCAACACACTTTGGTTTTTGTTCATTAAAGCAGTGGGTGCATTTGATTAGTAAGCACCCAGTACTTCAGCATGAACAATACATTGTGGAACTGGAAATTCTAACTGAGACAAATTGTCCAGTACCACATCAACCTTGAATTGAAATTGGAAGCAGGCCTACTGCTCAGCTGTAAGGTGTTTGCCGTGTGTTGAAAGATTAAGAAACAAGAATGAAGTCCAAATGAAACAGAACAGGTGTAATCACCCATACTCTGTGTAAAGGTCTCCATGTGTTGCTGGTGCTTTCCTAGATGTGCCTGCCTGTATAAATAGGTGGAGCTGCAAAGCAGAGAGGAGAGTGACCTAACCTGGTTGAGTTGAGCCAGGCAGGGCTGCAGTGGGCAGCTGCTGGGCTTGTTTTTTTTTTTTTTTTTTTTTTTTGCCAGCCACCCTGAAGATGAATTAACCAGCCAGACCAGACCAGCCGGGTGTTGTAACCTGTAACTAGGCCTATGAGGAGCCAGGTCATCCTAAACCCTGCCCCCTTTCACTCACACACACACACACACATACGTACACACACAGAGGTTAGAGGTCAGGGAGAGGGGGTGGGTTAGTGTTCACTGCGTAAACAAGGCCCCTGACCAGCATCGTCTTGCAGACGTTGTGTCTCGGCTACCTCACCTCCCTACCCCTGTCCAGAACACTGAGGCTTTAAGCTAATTAGAACCCTGCTCCTGTCTTCAGTGTTATGGTAGTAGAGGTGTAGAGGTCTTTACCACCCTGATACCCAGGGGACTCGTCTTCTCTCCCAGACCTCTAAACACAACACATCGTTTCCACTGGCTCTGTCTGACCCCAACAGGCCCCCATACCTCTATTCTGACCCCGCTGGATCCCATCTATGTGTTTTAGTCAGAGAGAAAATAGTCTGAAAATTAAATAAAAACCAATGGAGTGTCTGGTAGGATCTCTTCCATTTAAGCGGGTACACACCACCACAGTGCAGCTTTCAGTTGGAGATGGAAAGGAAAAGGAAGTCCAATAATTGGTTTCAGAGAAAGTAAATATTTTGAAACCAAGCTGCATGTGATTTTTAGTGGTTGGTGTTTCTCAGGTACACTTGTTTCCATCCAGACCATAATTTCACTGTTTTGGCTGCTGTTGCTCTGGGAACCAACCGCATAATGACAACTCCCACCCTCAAACCCCCCTCTCCTTTCTTTTCTCTCTTTTTCTCCTTCCCTCCTTCCACACCTGACCGTTTTCTCTCTTTTCCCAAACGGTAATGCCGGTGTGTGTGTGTGTGTGTGTGTGTGTGTGTGTGTGTGTGTGTGTGTGTGTGTGTGTGTGTGTGTGTGTGTGTGTGTGTGTGTGTGTGTGTGTGTGTGTGTGTGTGTGTGTGTGTGTGTGTGTGTGTGTGTGTGTGTGTGTGTGTGTGTGTGTGTGTGTGTGTGTGTGTGTGTGTGTGTGTGTGTGTGTGTGTGTGTGTGTGTGTGTGTGTGTGTGTGTGTGATGCAGGGTGGGGAGCAGGGTTCACCCTCCAGCTGCAGTGGGGCCAGGGGTTGGCTGGGTCGGGGAGGTGTGTCGGGGGGAGGTGGTGGTGGAGGGGGTACCATCCTGCCGGCACGGCCCCTGCCAAGCACAACATTCCTAACAGTAGTGGGATTGTGTGGCCGGTGTTTTCTCTGTCCCTCTGAGGAGAGGATGGAGGAGAGGGCCTCTCACCTGCATGGCAGGCTGGTGGCCATTTTGGTTCCTGAAAGAGCCAAGGAGGAGAGCGGCTGCCCAGGGCTCAGGCCAAGCTGGCACTGGCATCACAGCTGGATCAGGGTCATGGGCGTTGGTTGGCAATTTCACTGACAGGTTTAGTCTAGAACCCAAAACCGCAGCTTCACCAATAAAAGTTGCTTTAAAAGGTGCACGATAGACCACACAGAATGAGTTGAAGATCATATCCGTGGTGACTTGTTTTTCCAAGCTTGCACTCCATTCAGTAAAGTTGTAGGCACATTTTTTCTGGTACTGTGGTGCACCAAAGTATGTCTTTCAAGATTATAATTTTTTTCACTCACTGTTCTTTCTCCTTTCTCTCTCGTGTTTTGAAAACGTGTCTCCTCGTTTTTTGGCTTGGTCTTTTTGGGTAGCTACGACCTGTTGGGGGTTTGTCTCGGAACTGGACTAAGGTCGGAGATGGTGGTTCCTCTGCAGAAGGGATTTTGGAGGTAATTGTGCACATGCAGGTTGGGATCCCTATTAAGACAGAGAGTAGATGGGGGAAATGATAAGGGTCTTTAGTTAGAGGAGGAGAACGTGCGTATGTGTGTGTGTGTGTTGACCTGGTTGGAGGCCAAGCAGATAGATCCAGATGAATCTCCAGAGATCCTGCCAGAAATGTCTGACTTACTGGGGTTTTCACTTGAACGTTTCAAGCTGACATTTAGGCTAGACTCGCTCCAGAAAAGAGAAAAGTGGGCATTGGGAAGCAAAGGAAATGTGCAGATTGTCCTGGAAGTGCGATGCTCATATGGACTCTATCTACATACTCATGTCTTTGTTTTAATTATTTATCCCCCCCCCCCCCCCTTCCCTCCATATCTCTGTCTTGTCTCAGCTGATGGGCTACAACGAGAAGCCTGTCAACCTACAGATGTTCATCGGCACGGCAGACGACCGCTACCTCAGACCTCACGCCTTCTACCAGATGCATCGGATTACTGGGAAAACGGTGGCCACTGCCAGCCAGGAGATCATCATCTCCAGCACCAAAGTTCTCGAAATTCCTCTGCTTCCCGAAAACAATATGTCCGCCAGGTGGGTGTCATGGTCGCTCAAGGATGACATTACTCAGAGGAAGACCCTGAGAGTGTAAAAATAACAGTTCATGCAGGATCGTAATATCCAGACATACATACATACATACATACATACATACACACACACACACACACACACACACACACACACACACACACACACACACACACACACACACACACATACATACATACATACATACATACATACATACATACATACATATACATACATACATACGCTAGGGATTTTATTAGTCTTAATTCAAACCAACAGGAGGGTTAAGTTCAGCAGGAAAATGAGAATTTCCCACCAAGCAGAATATGCTTCTAATACACTTTATTTCCATATTTATGGATTTAAATTGACCACAGTATATATTTAGGCTTTTATTTCGAAGGCTCTGGATTTTCATTTATAATCTGAATTCCGAGCTTTTTTGTCTTAGATTTGATGTTTCCCCTCATAGCTGTAGCATTAATAAATCATATTTACTGCTGTCACGCTCTGGTTCCGGGACTTGGTATTTTAGCCAGAGTGTGTTAAGTATTGTTGTGTTTGGGTTGGTTGGGTGGTTATTGGTTGTTTCTGTGTTTGGTTGAGTGACTCCCAATCAGTGGTAACGAGTGTCAGCTGTCGGCTCGTTATCTCTGATTGGGAGCCATATTTAAACTGTCATTGTTCACCTTGGGGTTGTGGGTTTTTGTTCATTGTTCAGTAGTTGTCACTGAGGACTTCACGATCGTGGTTTGTTTTGTATTCTCGTGTGGAATTATTAAAGTCAAGATGTTCACTCCCAACGCTGCGCTTTGGTCATACTTCTTAGGAGATCGTGACAGAAAAACCCACCACAACGAGACCAAGCAGCGTTTCCAGGAGCTGGATGACGAGTGGTGGAGACAGAAGAGCGAAGGTTGGGAGAGGACTATAGAGGCCTGGTCGACCGAGAGGAGAGACCCCCAGAAAATTTTTAGGGGGGGGCTCACGACGTCGGGGCAGAAGGTGTACGGCCCGGAGGAGTGCAAGAGGTTGGCAGATATGGCCGCCAGTTTAAGGGGGCCACTGGTTACGAAGGGGATGGAAAGTGTGGAGGCACGGCGAGAGGTACTGGGGTGTGTTTCCAGTCCGGTCCGGCCCGTTCCTGATCCCCGTGTAGGGCCAGGGGTGTGTGTCCCCAGTGCGGTTCTGTCTGTTCCTGTTCCTCGCATTGAACCTACGGTGCGCGTCGCCAGCCCGACTCGGCCCGTTCCTGCTCCCCGCACCAAGTCTGTGGTGCGTTTCGCCAGCCCAGCCCGGCATGTCCCTGCTCAACGCACCAAGCCTACGGGGTGCGTCGCCAGCCCAGCTCGGCCTGTTCCTGCGCCCCGCACCAAGTCTGTGGTGCGTTTCGCCAGCCCAGCCCGGCCTGTTCCTGCGCCCCGCACCAAGCCTACGGGGTGCGTCGCCAGCCCAGCCCGGCCTGTCTCTGCTCTACGCACCAAGACTACGGTGTGCGTCGTCGGCCCAACTCGGACTGTTCCTGCCACTCGCACCAGGCTAAGGGGGCGAGTCGTCAACCTGGTTCAGCCTATTCCTGCTACTCGCACCAAGCCAGGGAGGCGAGTCGTCAACCTGAGGAGGTCCGTTCCGGCTCCACGTACCAAGCCGAGGGTGCGTATCGTCGGCCAGGTCCGGTCCATCCCTGTCTCACGCGCCAAGCTAGGGGTGCGCGTCATCAGTTTGGATCCAGCCAGCTGGGTTGGATTGGACCGGGGCCATTACGGGGGGAGTTATGTAGGGTGGTGGTCAAGCCCGGAGCCGGAGCCGCCTCCGAGGAGCAACACCCACCCAGCCCTCCCCTATTTGGGGTTTTGAGGCGCGGTCGCAGTCCGCGCCTTTAGGGGGGGGTACTGTCACGCTCTGGTTCCGGGACTTGGTATTTTAGCCAGAGTGTGTTAAGTATTGTTGTGTTTGGGTTGGTTGGGTGGTTATTGGTTGTTTCTGTGTTTGGTTGAGTGACTCCCAATCAGTGGTAACGAGTGTCAGCTGTCGGCTCGTTATCTCTGATTGGGAGCCATATTTAAAATGTCATTGTTCACCTTGGGGTTGTGGGTTTTTGTTCATTGTTCATTAGTTGTCACTGAGGACTTCACGATCGTGGTTTGTTTTGTATTCTCGTGTGGAATTATTAAAGTCAAGATGTTCACTCCCAACGCTGCGCTTTGGTCATACTTCTTAGGAGATCGTGACAACTGCATTTGCACTTTGTAATTTGACTCAGATGTATATTATTTTCACAATATGATGGCGAAGGTTTGTTATGGCATTAATTCAGCCTTCCATTCAGCCTAATTAATGTCTTCATTGATACCCAATCGGGGGTGTGTTGCTTAGCTCCCCTCCCTATCTCTCTTGCAGTATTGACTGTGCTGGCATCCTGAAGCTGCGGAACTCGGGCATTGAGCTGCGGAAGGGGAACGGATATTGGCGGAAGAACACGCGTGTGCGAGTGGTGTTTCGTGTTCACATCCCCCAGACCAATGGGAAGGTTCTCTCTCTACAGGCTGCATCCATCCCCGTAGAGTGTTGTGAGTGTCCAGATCCTGTTCAGATGCGCACACACACACATACACACACACACCAGCCCTTTCTCTCCTCACTCACTCATCTCTCTTTTCTCTGTCTCTTTCTATCTTTCTCATATGTACATTGCTGCCTATGTAAACCCCTCTCCTCTGCTCTCCTCTATCCTCCCAGCCCAGCGTTCGGCCCCGGAGCTTCCCCAGGGAGAGAAGGCCGTCTGAACTCTCTGGTCCGGGAAGGGGATATCATCACAGGATCCAACTTTTCCGAATCAAAGTCATATCGGAGAAAGGGCCCTGTAAAGATTTTCTCCTTTCTCTCTCGTGTTTTGAAAACGTGTCCCTCTTTTGGCTTGGCTTTGGTAGCTACGACCTGTTGGGGGTTTGTCTCGGAACTGGACTAAGGTCGGAGATGGTGGTTCCTCTGCAGAAGGGATTTTGGAGGTAATTGTGCACATGCAGGTTGGGATCCCTATTAAGACAGAGAGTAGATGGGGGGAAATGATAAGGGTCTTTAGTTAGAGGAGGAGAACGTGCGTGTGTGTGTGTGTGTTGACCTGGTTGGAGGCCAAGCAGATAGATCCAGATGAATCTCCAGAGATCCTGCCAGAAATGTCTGACTTACTGGGGTTTTCACTTGAACGTTTCAAGCTGACATTTAGGCTAGACTCGCTCCAGAAAAGAGAAAAGTGGGCATTGGGAAGCAAAGGAAATGTGCAGATTGTCCTGGAAGTGCGATGCTCATATGGACTCTATCTACATACTCATGTCTTTGTTTTAATTATTTATCCCCCCCCCCCCCCCCTTCCCTCCATATCTCTGTCTTGTCTCAGCTGATGGGCTACAACGAGAAGCCTGTCAACCTACAGATGTTCATCGGCACGGCAGACGACCGCTACCTCAGACCCACGCCTTCTACCAGATGCATCGAGTACTGGGAAAACGGTGGCACTGCCAGCCAGGAGATAATCATCTCCAGCACAAAGTTCTCGAAATTCCTTTCTGATTCCCGGAAAACAATATGTCCGCCAGGTGGGTGTCATGGTCGCTCAAGGAGGACTACTCAGAGGAGGAAAGACCCTGAGAGGGTAAAATAAACAGTTAATGCAGGATAGTAATATCCAGACAATAACATACCTCCTACATACATACATACACCAAACACACACACACACACACACCCACACACACACACACACCACACAAACACACACTACACACACACAACACACACACACACACACACACAAACACACACACACACACACACCACAAACACCACACACAAAAACACACACCACAGACACACACCACACAGACATCATACATACATACATACATACATACATACATACATTACACACACACACGCTAGGGATTTTATTAGTCTTATTTAAACCCACAGGAGGGGGTCAGTGGATAGCAGGAAAATGAGAATTCCCAACGCAAGCAGAATATGCTTCTAATACACTTTATTTCCATATTTATGGATTTACATTGACCACAGTATATATTTAGGCTTTTATTTCGAAGGCTCTGGTTTTTCATTTATAATCTGAATTCCGAGCTGTTTTGTCTTAGATTTGATGTTTCCCCTCATAGCTGTAGCATTAATAAATCATATTTACTGCATTTGCACTTTGTAATTTGACTCAGATGTATATTATTTTCACAATATGATGGCAAAGGTTTATTATGGCATTCATTCAGCCTTCCATTCAGCCTAATTAATTTCTTCATTGATACCCAATCGGGGGTGTGTTGCTTAGCTCCCCTCCCTATCTCTCTTGCAGTATTGACTGTGCTGGCATCCTGAAGCTGCGGAACTCGGACATTGAGCTGCGGAAGGGGGAGACGGATATTGGGCGGAAGAACACGCGTGTGCGAGTGGTGTTTCGTGTTCACATCCCCCAGACCAATGGGAAGGTTCTCTCTCTACAGGCTGCATCCATCCCCGTAGAGTGTTGTGAGTCTCTCTGCTCTCCTCTTTCCTCCCAGCCCAGCGTTCGGCCCAGGAGCTTCCCCAGGTAGAGAAGGCCAGTCTGACCAGCTCTCTGGTCAGCGGGGGAGAGGAGATAGTCATCACAGGATCCAACTTCTTCCCCGAATCAAAGGTCATATTCCTGGAGAAGGGCCCTGGTAAGAGATTTGTACACACAGCGTCTCACACACGGGGGAAGTCCTTGGGGACATCCTTGCTGAGGATTGTGATTGTTTTTCTTGATTATTTGTATTATATTGTATTTTACTTTATTTAGTATATTGTGTATACAGTATGCAGGGCTCCCTTGTAAAAGAGACGTTGGTCTCGATGGTGTCTCCCTGTTAAAATAAAAGTAAAATAAATAAGATAAATAAATATTGCTGACCCACAAGCTGACTCATAATTCACATTGTCGAACAGTCCAAAGGATCAGGACAGATTATTTTTTATATTGTCCTCTTGCCACAATGGTCTTATATCAGATATATAATACTGTTTAGTTAATCCAAATTAAACAGCTCAAAGAATATCCACAGTAGCAAATACTCTGTAGTTTGGATCCAGTGAGTTGACCCAAGATCTGTGTTGATTTGGGTACTGTAGCTCCATGTTAACGTAACCATTGTTGGGTAGAGAACAACGGGAGTGTAAGGAAGGACCCTTCTCAACATGCTCTGGATAGAACGTCACCATCACCAATCACCTCTTGCAACTTAGAGTTCAAACAGGTTCCAATAGCTGATTTACTGACAGCGGAGGAAGAGTCAGACCCAACTAGATAGAAACACCTGGGAAAAGAACAGTCACATGCCTCCTACAGCCCTGGGGAGCGTTCCACACCATGCTGCTATCCCGCCCACTAGCACTGCTCTACTATTTAAAGCACCTCTCTTTTTCTGTCATCCATGGAATGTTACTACTGAGTTATGTGTTACAATACACACATAGCTCAAGAGCAAGAGCCACTAATAACGGATCTCTATCTCTTTTCTGATTGTATCTGTCCGTCCCAAGAGATAGATAGGTAGCGTATCTGGCTGCTGCTACTGACTGAAACACAGGTCATCACACACCCACACAGTACAATCTACTGCTTACACCTGGCTCTTCAGTCTCTAGTCTTTATCAGTGTTAATATGTAGCCCTGCCCTGTTCAGTGTTGTAACTTAAGAAGAGAGAGTCTCTCTGAGTGTGGTCGGTCCTTCTACTCATACTGGACCTCTTCACTAATCGCTTGGGTTGAACTTAACTTATAACAACCCACTGTTTAGCCTCTCTCCCTCCTCTAACTCTCTCAATAATAAAACACAAGGATGGGCGGGTTCCAGGATGGAAACTGTGAAAGGGTGACAGCATTCTGTGAACCAGTCCCTGCCTGCCCATGTAGCTTTGTGAAAGAGGCCAAACTGAATCAAGTTCAAACACGGAGGAGAGTCAAGGGTGCTGTTACTTACTGACTAAGATACATTATTTTGAGAAATTGAGTGGAAACCTTTACCCTAGGAGTGGAAACCTTTACCCTAGGAGTGGAGAGTTTAACCTAGGAGTGGAGTGGAGGAAACTTGGGCCCCGCAAACATGATGTGTGTGTGTTTTGAGGTTGAAAGAGAGAGATAATGAATGATCTGGTTTGTATAAATTGTCCCTCATCACGGCTAATCCAGCCGCTTATTGCAGACCATGCCTGATTGGAGGGAGCGGATGGAGGGATGGAATAAAGACAGGAGAGGAAGAGAGTAGAAATGACAGAGTTTTCCACCTCCTCCTTCCATAAACAGAGTACAACAGTGGAATCACGTTGAGTGTAAAATACAGGTTTATTGTGGTTAGTTAGTTAATGCATAGTCAGTGTTTCCCCTAGGATTATTTTCAGCAATGGTGGCAGAGTTGGGGGGGATGGGGTCTAGCGGGAGCTGGGTCTTCCTGCGGGGGGGTAGGGTGGGGTCTTCCTGGGGCATATATAAAAATAAATGCAGTGGAAGCGCCGCTGCTAAATGCACATAAGAGGAGGGGAGGGTTCGGTAACAGGGATCCCTAGCTCCAGGCACCAGTTCATAAGAAGTACTACATTACTGTTTATGGAATCTCTACTGGCCTCTTTACTGGACTCTCTTCTTGACTTGTTATATTCCCATTTTTAAAGATGATAAAAGTCACTTTGAATAGAAAAGTTTGCAAAATTACCATATTGTTTTTATTACAAGCAGTAATGGAGGTATTTTAGTGAGTTGGTTGACTGTTAGTTAGGTCAATGGACTTGACTGCACTGCAGTGAGGATAGGGGAGGAGGGGGAGAGGTAGTTGAGGTGAGGAAGGGGAAGTTAGCCATGAGGATGCAGGCAGGCTAGCTACAGCAGGTCTGTCAGTGTGAGGTCTGGTCTTTGGCTCGCTCGCTCATCACCTCTTAATGCTAGGAAAAGCAGAAAGGGCCTTTCCATCTGTCCAGATGAAACAGGATAATATCCAATGGCTTCATGCTGACTTCTATCACTTTATTACCTGCTCGGAGGGAGGGAAGTATGGCTCAGAGGAAGGGGAATATGAAAAATGCATTATTATTCTGAGGGAAAAAACATATTATTTGACCAGAGTGAACCTCATCAAACAGAGAAAAAGGGTCCCTAGTTGGACTGACTGACTGCCTGACTGACTCTACTGGCTGACTGACTCTACTGACTCTACTGGTTGACTGACTCTACTGACTGACTGACTCTACTGATTCTACTGGCTGGCTGACTCTACTGACTATACTGAATGACTGACTCTTCTGATTCTACTGGCTAACTGACTCTACTGGCTGACTGACTCTACTGACTATACTGAATGACTGACTCTTCTGATTCTACTGGCTAACTGACTATACTGACTGACTGACTCTACTGACTCTACTGAATGACTGACTGACTCTGCTGATTCTACTGGCTAACTGACTACTGACTCTACTCTGACTGATTCTACTTGACTCTACTGACTATACTGACTGTACTGACTCTACTGATTCTACTGGCTGTCTGACTCTACTGACTACTGACTATACTGACTGACTGACTCTACTGATTCTACTGGCTGTCTGACTCTACTGACTATACTGACTGACTGACTCTACTGATTCTACTTGACTATACTGACTGACTACTGATTCTACTGACTGACTGACTCTACTCTGATTCTACTGACTGGTCTGACTCTACTGACTATACTGACTGACTGACTCTACTGATTCTACTGGCTGTCTGACTCTACTGACTATACTGACTGACTGACTCTACTGATTCTACTTGACTATACTGACTGACTACTGATTCTACTGGCTGTCTGACTATACTGACTGACTGACTATACTGGCTGACTGACTACTGACTGGCTGAATACTGACTATACCGACTGACTGACTCTACTGATTCTACTGGCTGACGACTCTATACTGACATTATACTGACTGACTGACTCTACTGATTCTACTGGCTGTCTGACTCTACTGACTATACTGACTGACTGACTCTACTGATTCTACTTGACTCTACTGACTATACTGACTGACTCTACTGATTCTACTGGCTGTCTGACTCTACTGACTACTGACTGACTGACTCTGACTATACTGACTGACTCTACTGATTCTACTGGCTGACTGACTCTACTGACTATACTGACTGACTCTACTGATTCTACTGACTGACTGACTCTACTGACTCTACTGACTGACTGACTATACTGACTGACTGACTCTACTGACTATACTGACTGACTGACTCTACTGACTATACTGACTGACTGACTGGCTGACTGACTAACTGGCTGACTGACTCTACTGACTGACTGACTCTACTGGCTGACTGACTCTACTGGCTGACTGACTCGACTGGCTGACTGACTCGACTGGCTGACTGACTCGACTGACTGACTGACTCGACTGACTGACTGACTGACTCTAATGTAGGGCCTTGATGAGGGCAGAAGTTTACACAAGGGGAGTGGAGAATGACGTTTAAAAAAAAACAGTGGTTGAATTGAAATTGCATTTAACACACCAGGCATCAGTGTTTTTCCTTTCTTCTATACAAAAGGTCTAAAAGCTATAGTTATTATAGCTGTCTGACTAGCTTAGCCCTCGTTGTTTTGGTAGATATCATAACACATGGATGTGTGTTTTTAGCTCTCTGAGAGGGGAGCATATAGAACATGTTTTCTCTCGGAGAGAGGGGTGGATGGATGTGTGTTTTCAGGTGGGGGGTGCGATATGAGGTTCCTGTTGGAGCTTGTTTTGTGCTGGGCGGAGGACGGTGGCAGTACATGTGGGGCCCTCTACCTCCTCTCTCCTGCCTATTGAATGTCAACATGTGCTGCAGAAATACACTCAGTGTGCTGTATGCTGAAGTCAGACAGAGCTAAGGCACCCAAGGTCATTATTCAGTCATTACCAGAAAGCTGTCTGACTCAGATGGCTAGAGGAGTAGCTAGAGCCCTTACACCAAAAGAGAGGGAACCTCCCAATAGAGATACAATAGCCTAGAGTGGTTTATGTCATAAACCTGTTCTGTTTCCTTCTGTGGGACGGTGGAACCTCCACTGAGCTCTATGGAAGAGTCTAATGCACCACAGGATTACTGGGACAAAGACTGTCATCTGCCTCTGTTAGGATGAGATCAGGGGCATTTCTAAGCCTTCCTAACTAAAGTAGTATGTTATCAGTTAAGAGGAGATCAGAGTAGGGCCATCTACTATAGATGGCCATTAGAAGGGGAAGCCTTTGGAAAGAAAAGCAGAATACTGTAGATGTACAGGACTTAGCCTATAACTACAGTACAGCTATAAGATCCCATTGTATAGATGGGGAGTCTTTCAGCAGGCATTAGGGCAGATCGGTTTTGGGGAAGCCCTTTGGTTAAGTGGAGAAGTAACACAGGTGCAGTCAGATGTAATCAGGCCCATATTGTGAACAGCATGAAACAGCCCCATTTGCAATTGCAAGTTAGTGTGGCATCATGCCATTTAAAAAAAGGTGTAGCTACTTACTACTGTAAGTGACAGCAGTAGTTGTGCAGTAGTAGCTGAAAATATCTCTTTATATAGTAGTTGTGATGATCGTGACTTCTCCTGAACCGCAGCACCAGCCCAGCAGCCCGTTATAATTCTCTCAACTGCTTTTCTGAATGGCTGGATGCCTAAGATGTCTGGCCAGATCATTAGATCTGTAGTAGGAAAACTGGAAAATAAGGGGATGTTTCCTTTCCTAAGCCAGCCAGAACTCTGGCAGCACAACGCAGCCCAGCACGTGGTGGACCAACCGACGGAGGGAGGGAGGGGTTTTTAAATAAATAGACAGTTATTCCACTCTTCTCTCCATAATGTTAACCAGGCAAGACAATCAGCAGGATATTTAGACTTTGATTACTTTTTAATAGCTGTAAAAATACTCTCCACAGGGTTTCTGTGTCCATAAAGATGACATCATTGAGATGTTTCAGGTCCCCCAGCCAGAACCAATTGAAATCCCTCTGCTTTCCGAAGATTTTCTGTGGTTCATATTAAGCCATGTCTGCTGGGGCAGAGAGAGTCATACACTGACATGATGATCATTAGGAAAATAGACAGTACCCCAAAAGATAACTTCCAAAATATTACACAAGACTTAAAGATGGGTCTGAAAAATAATGCAATGATCATAGATCTTCCTCATAATTAGGTTGTGTGGCCGGGGTGTATTGCATGTTACGTGCATTTAGCTACCTGACTTATTCAGCTTTTTTCAACTCAACATTACTGTATGATCTTTAGATTTGATGGTCTTGGTTTTATAAACTATTTGACAGATACTATAATTCACTTCCTCCCAGATTCACATTGATATAGGAATTAGTCCAAAAGCTGGCAATTCAATTAGGGGAGGATTTGATGGAGTCCTTTGTGTCACATTTGTCTGTTGACTCCATCTGTTTTGTGGAGGAGTAGCAGGATGAGGAGGAGGGGGGTTGACTCTTTGCTGAATCCCTATGGGTGCCATTCTGCTATTAATTCACACATTATTTGAAAAGCAGACAAAGAGCCGAATGCATTGTCTCTCGCCAGGCCCAGACTGGAGTGGGAATGCTGTGATCTTGCTGTCTGTCACAATGGAGTCCTACAATGTGTTCTACTCATCTATCATGTCTTCTCCCTCTTTTTTTCTCTTTTAGATGGAAGACCACAGTGGGAAGTGGAGGCGAAAATCATCCGGGAGAAAAGTCAAGGAGTAAGTAGAACATATGCTTTCTACACGTCTCTGTAGCTTAGCTGTCATATAAAGGCAATATTTTTTACAGCTGTTAGATTTATGTAACATTATGAATTAATTATTACTAAAGTATCCTGACCTAATGTGAATGTCTGTGAAAAGTGGAAACGTTGACTGTGTTGGTTCCTTCTCCCAGTCGAACATCGTGGTTGAGGTCCCTCCCTACCACAGTAAGACCGTGACCTCGGCTGTTCAGGTGCAGTTCTACGTGTGCAACGGGAAACGGAAAAGGAGCCAATCACAACGCTTCACTTACCTGTCAGGTAGGAGGATCTACATTCTACACAAATCATAGTGCTTGAATTGCAAGTATTTAGAATCACTGGTGGTTGTGTTCCAACCCATCTTAAACACGGTCACACTGTACAGATTACTAGATCTGGCAACACTTGGTGTTAAGCTAACATCTCATGAACCACATTTATATGATATAGCAATTTTGTCATGTGTGGCAGTGTTCTAAAGACTTACTGGAACACAATCATGTGCAGTCACGTTTAAACCTCCAGTTGCTTCTCACTCCTCTGTTGGCCTCTCAGGGTGATTGACAGAAAGCAGAATCAGCCATGGAAAGCAGCAACACACACACATACACTGCCGAGGCTCCTGTTGTTTTGGAGAGCTTTGAACTTTCCCTCCCAGTTTGCATAGCTGTGGTTAAAGAAGGGGCACCTCCACTAGCAGTTCCAGTTACATGTGCACCTGCCAACCGTTCATGTAAAGCACCATTCAACTCTATTGCTGACTGTTTCTGATGTGAATTTGCATTGACGTTTTAGTATGCAAATCTCTCTGCTCTCCAGGAACATTTTACTGCACACAGGAATTGTGGGAATTTCAAATGGTGTTGTTTGCCTAAAATAAAATCTCTGCATCAAGGCTGAAAATGAGTGTTTTTGACATGTGGATTATGCAGTTTCCTAATGTTTCTGATTAAGTCAAATCGCTGCGTAGTTACTTGATATTGTTATTGTTTTCCAACAATAACGTCAAACCAACATTAGTCAAAACGAAAACTGCGTTGGTGGAATATAATGACAAGTAAGCAATTTCTGACATGTACCACAGGAGTGTGTGTGTGCGTACGTTTAAATGTATGTGTGTCCCTCCACCCACTCTCCGTTTGCAGCGCGTCGCCCACTCATCAAGTGCTTCCTGTTTTCCACGCTACCCTACCAGGACAGCCAATTAGAGCACAGCACAGGAAGCCTGCTCTGTCAGTGTAGATGCCACTATTGTTACCACGGACACCGCACGCTTAATTGTGGCATCACCGGCCCACCTATCACACTGTGCTACCTAGTGTGCGTGGGTAGCAGGGGCCCTGGCTGGCCCGGTTTAGGGATGAACTGTGAGAAAAGAACATCAGTTAACTTATGAGATCTCTTAAGGAGGATGTCATGACTAGAATGAGTAGGGTTCTGAGTTGTTCCTGGTCAGGTCAAGTGGTCAACACAAGAAAAACTTAGTCATTAGGGTTGGCTAAGTATGAATAGATGCAGTCAGCATAATCCAGAGGAAGACCCTTCTGTCTCTACAATATCACAGTGCCTTTCCTCCAAAACAAAAACATGTAAAAAAGCACCCTTTAACCCATTCTACCACAGTATCTCAGTCCCCTCCCCCTCAGAAACAAGTCTTCCTGGCTGTGTTCTCTCAGTAACATTCCTGTCAGATGGAGGGCCATGGGAGGTAGTATGGGTACTAGGGGCTGTGAACTGGTTTGTCCTCCTCCTGGTTTCAGCATGGCTGGAGGGCATTCTGCTTCTCCCCATACTGCAGACAACATGATGGCACCCAAACCTAGCAACATATGCTCCCTCTCTCTGATTCAGAGCTGGGTCAAAATAAAACCCTGCCTGTCACAAGCACCAGATTGGGAAATAGGTTACTGATTGGTACACAGCATAGTTTTGCTGTGTGCTATGTGCTGTTATAAAGGTGTTCCAATTAAGTAAATATTTCTAATCTAGTTAACACATACATTCTGGTGAACTTGGGTGAACCACAATGCTTTGACACGGTGGATGTTGATTGGGAAGTTAATCCTGAGATTCGGCTATTTGTGGTGTTCCAGAATGTGGTAAAACAACGAATGAGTACTGCCTTCTTTGGTTTCCCATACTGAGTGTCTCTCTCTCTCTGTCTACCGCACTCCCTCTCGCTCGCTCTCTCTCTCTCGCTCTCTCTCTCACTCGCTCTCTCTCTCGCCCTCTCTCTTACTGTCTCCAGTCCTGGTGAAGCAGGAGCATAACAGAGAAGAGATGGAAGGGCCCCCTGCTGTGCCCCCCATGCCCGGTATGTCCATGCCCCTGGCCCATGCTGCCAGCCTGGTCCGCAATACCCACACCCAGCTGCCTTCCCCTGAGCAGGGCCACCCGCCGGACGGCCTTCTGTCCAGCTCTCCCCGGGGCCTGGCTGCGGGCCCCGGCCCCAGCCTCCATACTCTGCAGCCTGCCTGCCCCCTCATGGGCTCCCCCTCCTTCCAGCACCTGCCTCACCTCCAGGGCAGAGGCCTCCACATGCCTGCTGACTGCCACATGACGTTCCATCCGGGCCCAGCTCCTCCCAACAGGCCCTCCTACCAACACCATCCTATGCAGCAGAGTCACAGCCATCCCGGCCACGTAAGCAACCTAAATCACAACCTGCCCTACAACGGCCAGTCCAGCCTGCCTATGAACATGAACACTGGGGCTCCGCAGGGCTATGAGAGGATGCCTTACCACCAGCAGCAGTCTGACCCCGGGGCCTCTCACCCCATGGGGCTGGGTATGGTGTACCACTCCTCCCCATCCACCTCCGCCCAGCAGGCCTCCAGCCCCCACAGCCCCATCCCCACTGCCCCCCACAGCCAGCCCATGACCCACTCCTCCCACTCTGCTCCTCACCTGCTCTCCATGGGCTACCACTGTTCCCCCAACCCCAGCCAGGTGCCCTCGCCCACCCACCCCAACCACCCCATGGGCCAGCCCTCACCCACCCACCCTAACCATCCAATGCAGCCCTCCCCCCAGCTGCAGAGAGCTATGGGGGGCTACCACCCCACCAGCCAGAGGTCTGCCTCCTGTCCCACTACCTCCAGTGCCCCTCCAGCCCACATTGTGCCCTCGCCCCACTCCGGGCCATCCTCCCCCCAGCTCCACTCCCTGCCCTACCAGTCACCCACCTCCCCCTCCCCCACCGGCAGCCCTCTGGGCCACCCAGCACACAGTCCCCAGGCCAGCAGCCCTGTCATGTCCAGCCTGTCCCCAGGGGGACCGGGGCCCCTCGTGCAGCAGCACCCTCTGGCCCCCCAGCAGGGCCCCTTCCCTACGGAGGGGGAGAGCATGAACATCAAGCAGGAGCCGGAGGAGAGCGAGCCCACCTTCAGATCCATCGGCCTGCAGGACATCACACTGGACGACGGTAAGACACGGCTATGTCTATGTCACCCTCTCCATCTCTCCATGTGTCTGTACTCTCTCTATATCTCATTCTCTCTTGATTAGGGGGAATTTAAAAGCCCTTAAATTTCCATTATTTTAATAGCCTTTTAGGATTTAAAAAAAGTTCCATTACATTACATTGTTGCATAGCATCCAGCTAACACGTGTTATACAAAACAGCTTCTGTTTTATAACACTGTGTAAAAAGATACTTTCCACCAGTTGCTGAATTCTCCTGGGTGAAATTATGTCTCATTATAGTGATTGTATTTCATACATACATCACTTAAACCGGCAGTTGGGTTTTGTACACAGTAGGGTTGTTATTGAATGGTCCTGACTGAGTACAGGAGGATTGGACATCATAGCAGCACAATAGACTAATGACTCTTCACACTAAAGGCCTCATCACAAATAGCTCATCCCCATCTGACACACACACACACACACACCAGTAAGGAGATTCATTACACTTTGGGTTCAGCTCATTTGTACTGACTGGATGTTGCAACAGTGGGAATACTAGGAAAATAGTTTTATACCACAGAGACCACAGCCGCGTCGTTATGCTGCTGCAATTACTGTGTGTGTATGCGGGTGTGTGGGTCCTTTCCATTCTTAATTTGGATGCTGAAGAGGACTAATGTACCTCTATTTACGGTGGTATAACAAACTGACTTGAGAATGATGAGTCTAACTCATTAAAATTCGTAATTGAGTGCCTCTTCACCTCAAGAACACTACAAATCCTAACTCAGCACAAACCGTCAGAGAAACCACCATTCCTCATTTAGTTTCTAATCTGCCACGCACAGCCACTTCTGCTTCTCTGAACCCTGGTCCCGGTCAGTCACATATTCAAATCAACAGCAGTCAAATGGCCCATAGTTAATAAACAGCCTGAAGAGACTGCGACATAAAGTGTGTGTGTGTGTGTGTGTGTATGCATCAGCAAGTGCTGTATTGTGTGCTAGCAAGGGCCAGGCTAATTAACACGGCCCATTATCAATAAGTCATGTATGAAAGGCCATCAGACAAAAGTTAACCAGCTGCATAATACACTGCATGTGTATTCATACACACACTCATACACTCAGACTTAGTCGCACAGTTGTGTGTACGCACGCATAATCATAATCAGTATATCCTTAATTATTCGCTCTCTATTTCTCTCTCTCTCTCACACTCACACACACACACACACATTGTTAAAGTAAAGGTCTGGCTGCCTCAGTCAGTTTCCCTCAGACGGTGTAGCTACAGGTAACTGCCAAAATAAAGGAAACCCCAACATTAAGTGTCTTAATACGTAGGGCGTTGGGCCACCACGAGCCAGAACAGCTTCAATGCACCTTGGCATAGATTCTACACGTGTCTGGAACTCTATTGGAGGGATGCGACACCATTCTTACATGAGAAATTTCATCATTTGGTGTTTTATTGATGGTGGTGGAAAACCCTGTCTTAGGCGCCGCTCCAGAATCTCTCATAAGTGTTCAATTAGGTTGAGATCTGGTGACTGAGATGGCCATGGCATATCGTGAAACATCAGCAAGTTGAGCAGTCTTCGTCACTGAAGCTCCTGCTAAACATGCCCCAACATTCACCCCCCAAACTCACTGAGATCTATTCTAGCCATGGTAGCCAAAATAATGGGGCAACTGGGCCTGCCCAGCATTTTTATACATGACCCTAAGCATGATGATGGGATGTTAATTCCACACCAGTGGAAGAAGAAGAAGTGTGAGAAAAGTTATTGACTGAAAAGACTGACATGGTTCACCCTGGGATTAGTAACTCCCTGTCTGAATGAGGCCTAGAAATAGCTTCTGTGCCATGCAGGCTCTGTAGGGCATCCACACACACACACACACACACATACACACACATACACACACACACACACACACACACACACACACACATACACACAAAACACACGCGCACACTGGCGCTGTAGGACATCATGAAGCAGTGAATGACTGAGCAGCACAGTGCAGCAAAGGAACGGCTGAGTTTTTAGGCGGTCAGAGCAGCACATGAAATATACCACAGAGCAGAGGGTTCATGTGTATTTGAGTATTTGTTATTTAAATACCTTTTTTCTGTGTATTTGACTATTTTCAAATAATGTGGCCTGAATTAACTACTTCTATTGGAAGTATTTTAAAGTATTTTCGGTAACACTTTATTTGGATAGTCCATCTGTAGTTGCTCTACTGACTATCAGTAACATTTCAACTAACTATGTACTAACCCTAGCTCTAACCGTAACCTTAACCCTTACCCTAACCTTAACTCTTACCTTAACCCTTACCATAACCCTTATTCTAAACCTAACCATAACCTTAGCAAGCAGTTGCTTATCAACCGATAGTTTGTTGATAGTATGACTATCTGTAGAGCATCTACAGAGGGAAAATCCGGACTATCCAAATAAAGTGGGACCGTATTTTAAAATAAATGGATTAAATGCATGGGAGTGTATTTGAGTCAGTGTATTTTAGTATTTTAAAATACTTTCCAAGTGTATTTCCAAATACATTCCAATATTCAACTACTTGAAATAGTATTTGAACCCTGGTCTACTAGACTACAGCTCAGCACAGATGTCTGGAATGCTAATTTACATAGCATAATTATACCACCACTATTAATTCTGCATGAACTTTACAATCTGCATGACTGTCTGTGAGTGTGAATACTCTGTCGGTTGGGTTGTTTATCTGTGTGTGTGTGTCTTTCTGTTAATGTCTGTATGTATGTTCTAGTAGTCTAACTAAGAGCAGGGTCAGTCAGTGCTGATATGTACATTTTAATATGATAAGTCATTCCCTGGTAGGATTTCAGTATACTGTAGTATCACAAGGGGCGCAACTTCCACTGGGGACGGGGGGGGGGGGGACGGGGTGCCACATTCTGAAATTGTTTTATCATTGGAATGTGATACAAAACGAGGCAACGGTGTGCTTTAGGACCGTGCGGACGCCTCCGAGCGGTCGGGTAGGCTGTTTGGAGTGTTTATCCTACTATTATTATTGTGTGTATATATATATAAATATATACACACACACACAGTGGGGAGAACAAGTATTTGATACACTGCCGATTTTGCAGGTTTTCCTACTTACAAAGCATGTAGAGGTCTCTTTATCATAGGTACACTTCAACTGTGAGAGACGGAATCTAAAACAAAAATCCAGAAAATCACATTGTATGATTTTAAAGTAATTAATTCGGATTTTATTGCATGACATAAGTATTTGATCACCTACCAACCAGTAAGAATTCCGGCTCTCACAGACCTGTTAGTTTTTCTTTAAGAAGCCCTCCTGTTCTCCACTCATTACCTGTATTAACTGCACCTGTTTGAACTCGTTACCTGTTTAAAAGACCACACGACCTGTCCACACACTCAATCAAACAGACTCCAACCTCTCCACAATGGCCAAGACCAGAGAGCTGTGTAAGGACATCAGGGATAAAATTGTAGACCTGCACAAGGCTGGGATGGGCTACAGGACAATAGGCAAGTAGCTTGGTGAGAAGGCAACAACTGTTGGCGCAATTATTAGAAAATGGAAGAAGTTCAAGATGACGGTCAATCACCCTCGGTCTGGGGCTCCATGCAAGATCTCACCTCGTGGGGCATCAATGATCATGAGGAAGGTGAGGGATCAGCCCAGAACTACACGGCAGGACCTGGTCAATGACCTGAAGAGAGCTGGGACCACAGTCTCAAAGAAAACCATTAGTAACACACTACGCCGTCATGGATTCAAATCCTGCAGCGCACGCAAGGTCCCCCTGCTCAAGCCAGCGCATGTCCAGGCCCGTCTGAAGTTTGCTAATGACCATCTGGATGATCCAGAGGAGGAATGGGAGAAGGTCATGTGGTCTGATGAGACAAAAATATAGCTTTTTTAGTCTAAACTCCACTCGCCGTGTTTGGAGGAAGAAGAAGGATGAGTACAACCCCAAGAACACCATCCCAACCGTGAAGCATGGAGGTGGAAACATCATTCTTTGGGGATGCAATGGGGACAGGACGACTGCACCGTATTGAGGGGAGGATGGATGGGGCCATGTATCGCGAGATCTTGGCCAACAACCTCCTTCCCTCAGTAAGAGCATTGAAGATGGGTCGTGGCTGGGTCTTCCAGCATGACAACGACCCGAAACACACAGCCAGGGCAACTAAGGAGTGGCTCCGTAAGAAGCATCTCAAGGTCCTGGAGTGGCCTAGCCAGTCTCCAGACCTGAACCCAATAGATCATCTTTGGAGGGAGCTGAAAGTCCGTATTGCCCAGCGACAGCCCCGAAACCTGAAGGATCTGGAGAAGGTCTGTATGGAGGAGTGGGCCAAAATCCCTGCTGCAGTGTGTGCAAACCTGGTCAAGACCTACAGGAAACGTATGATCTCTGTAATTGCAAACAAAGGTTTCTGTACCAAATATTAAGTTCTGCTTTTCTGATGTATCAAATACTTATGTCATGCAATAAAATGCAAATGAATTACTTAAAAATCATACAATGTGATTTTCTGGATTTTTGTTTTAGATTCCGTCTCTCACAGTTGAAGTGTACCTATGATAAAAAATTACAGACCTCTACATGCTTTGTAAGTAGGAAAACCTGCAAAATCGGCAGTGTATCAAATACTTGTTCTCCCCACTGTATATATATATATATTATGTCCCACCCACTTCTAAAACCAAAGTTGCGCCCCTGAGTATCACTGTAGTATCGCCTGCATAAACTCTGTGTGTGTACCACCACGTCACTGTTTAAACTGCTGTGGTGATCTAACAGATGGCCTTGGTGACGTATGCCAGCGTATGGGCCATGCAGTAGTGTGTGTGTGTGTGTGTGTGTGTGTGTGTGTGTGTGCAGTAGGTCTACTCTGTGTGTGTGTGTGGGGTCAGGAGCGGCACAGATTTACTGACAGATGGACAGACGAGTTGAGAATCCCACCCAACTGGCAGTATGCACCCAAAAATGCTTCCCCACTTCTCATAAACTCCTCCTAGCCGAATTCTCATCTCTAATAAACAAGTTTCTATCTAAGAATATGCATTTAGCAGTAAGAGGCAGGAGGAGGCCGTTTTTCTGCTAGAACTAGCACCTGAAAGGAAACTGCTGTGTACAGGACCTCTGCTTCTTTATTGGTAGGTACAGTTGTCTAGATTTGGTTTAGTGTCCATATTTAGTGTCCATATATTTCCAGTCTTCCTGAACAGTGTTAATGTGAGTGCACTATTAACAGGTACAGTAACTGTACAGTAGTGTGTATAGCGTGCTGTAGGTGTGTGCCTCCTTGCTCTCTCCCTCCCTGTCTTCTGTGAGCGTGAGTGAACCCTCCTGTGAGGGTGATTACGGCCGTCATGGTGACAGACTGAACCACTTGTGGTGCCGACCCGCGTGTTTATCTAATTAATCAGCTGACTCTGGCCCTGTGTTTGCACAGACAACACATACACACACATACATACACACACAGTGCAGACGGGTGGGGGTGGGGGTGGGGGGGCTAGCGGAGGCTGTGTGTGTGACACGGCGTGCCTGCGTCTTTTGTTTGCTCTCCTGCTCGGGCCACAGCTGCCTCTCGCCGTGAGCACGGCATTCTGGGTTAATAATAGGCCGGGCCTGCTGCTCCCGCTCTCCTTGTGAGAGACAACGACACAGAGCAGGCACACACACTCACTCACACACACTTAATTCTACCGCCGTCATAGTGTACACACACACACGCGCATGGAGACACAGGCACATCGTACACACAGTAACCAGCACACAGTAAATGCACCCATCAAAAACAGCCATTTTCACATCAGTACTATGAGTATGGAGCAACACATTGTAAACACTGTGCACACAGTAGTTAAACACATACTTTAGACAGTTTTCCCAGGCACAACTCTATATACAAATACACAAGATCAATGGCACTTACAGAGCATGTGCACAGTCTCTATTGACATAGCATAGCCAACACACAGACATAAACACACACGTCTACATTTAAAACATGGGCTAATCTGGGTCTGTTACTAAGGCTGCTGAAACATCGTTGTCACCAGACTCCATTCCCCTCCATGAGGTAGGCCCTGTCCATCTCTACTACTAGAGACCCAGGGATCCAACCCCCATTTCTATAGACAATGTGTAGTCTGCAGGTTGCACTACCACTAGACGGAAGTCACAGAACCCTGGCACCATGGTGCTGGTCAGTTTTGGTCAAGCAGGCCTCAGTCTCTGAGTCCTGAGTTGTCCCCAACAGTGGAAACTCCCCTCTGGTGCTCTGTGGTTTGGTGGCTTTGTGGCTCGGTCCAAGTCCCAGCCCAGCCAGTGGCTGCTTCTAACTTCGAACCGAGCATGGCAGATAAATAACACAACTCTCTATTCATGAGATGAGACAGCGCCGGAAGAAGATGGCTGCCGTTTTACAGCCCTCTAACCAATTGTACTATTATGTGTGTTTTTCCACGTTATTTGTAATTTATTTTGTACATAATGTTTCTGCCATCGTCTCTTATAACCAAAGAGAGCTTCTGGATATCAGGACAGCGATTACTCACCTGGTATTGGACGAATACTTTTTCTTCAACGAGGCGTTCGCGAAGGATATTCTACAGACTCCCGACAAGGCCCAGATCCCCGTCATTCGCGTGAGGAAGAGACGGAGATATCGTGGACGTAGATCCGGGTGCCTTGTAAGGATCCGACGGCGAACGAGTAAACTGCCTCTCCCATCAATCCTATTAGCCAACGTTCAAGCTTTTGAGAATAAAATGGACGATTTAAGATTACGGTTATCCTACCAACGGGACATTAAAAACTGTAATATCTTATGTTTCACGGAGTCGTGGCTGAACGACAACAATGACAACATTCAGCTAGCAGGCTATACGCTACATCGGCAGGACAGAACGGCAGACTCCGGTAAGACGAGGGGCGGCGGTCTGTGTATATTTGTAAACAACAGCTGGTGCACAAAATCAAATACTAAGGAAGTCTCAAGGTTTTGCTCGCCTGAGGTAGAGTATCTTATGATAAGCTGTAGACCACACTATTTACCAAGAGAGTTTTCATCTATATTTTTCATAGCTGTCTATTTACCACCACAAACCAATGCTGGCATTAAGATTGCACTGAATGAGTTGTACAAGGCCATTAATCAACAGGAAAACGCTCATCCAGATGCAGCGCTCCTAGTAGCCGGGGACTTTAATGCAGGGAAACTTAAATCCGTTCTACCTCATTTCTACCAGCATGTTAAATGTGCAACCAGAGGGGAAAAAACTCTAGACCACCTTTACTCCACACACAGAGACGCATACAAAGCTCTCCCTCGCCCTCCATTTGGCAAATCTGACCATAACTCTATCCTCCTGATTCCTGCTTATAAGCAAAAACTGAAGCAGGAAGCACCAGTGATTCGGCTAATAAAAAAGTGGTCAGATGACGCAGATGCTAAGCTACAGGACTGTTTTGCTAGCACAGACTGGAACATGTTCCGGGATTCTTCAGACAGCATTGAGGAGTACACCACATCAGTCACTGGCTTCATCAATAAGTGCATCGATGATGTCGTCCCCACAGTGACCGTACGTACATACCCCAACCAGAAGCCATGGATTACAGGAAACATCCGCACTGAGCTAAAGGGTAGAGCTGCCGCTTTCAAGGAACGGGACTCTAACCCGGACGCTTATAAGAAATCCCGCTATGACCTCCGACGAACCATCAAACAGGCAAAGAGTCAATACAGGTCTAAGATTGAATCATACTACACTGGCTCTGACGCTCGTCGGATGTGGCAGGGCTTGAAAACTATTACAGACTACAAAGGGAAGCACAGCCGCGAGCTGCCCAGTGACACAAGCCTACCAGACGAGCTAAACCACTTCTATGCTCGCTTCGAGGCAAGCAACACTGAAGCATGCATGAGAGCACCAGCTGTTCCGGACGACTATGTGATCACGCTCTCCGTAGCCGATGTGAGTAAGACTTTTAAGCAGGTCAACATTCACAAGGCCGCAGGGCCAGACGGATTACCAGGACGTGTACTCCGAGCATGTGCTGACCAACTGGCAAGTGTCTTCACTGACATTTTCAACATGTCCCTGACTGAGTCTGTAATACCAACATGTTTCAAGCAGACCACCATAGTCCCCGTGCCCAAGAACTCTAAGATAACCTGCCTAAATGACTACCGACCCGTAGCACTGACGTCTGTAGCCATGAAGTGCTTTGAAAGACTGGTCATGGCTCACATCAACAGCATAATCCCAGAAACCCTAGACCCACTCCAATTTGCATACCGCCCCAACAGATCCACAGATGATGCAATCTCTATCGCACTCCACACTGCCCTTTCCCACCTGGACAAGAGGAACACCTACGTGAGAATGCTATTCATTGACTACAGCTCAGCATTCAACACCATAGTGCCCTCTAAGCTCATCACTAAGCTAAGGATCCTGGGACTAAACACCTCCCTCTGCAACTGGATCCTGGACTTCCTGACGGGCCGCCCCCAGGTGGTAAGGGTAGGTAACAACACATCTGCCACACTGATCCTCAACACGGGGGCCCCTCAGGGGTGCGTGCTCAGTCCCCTCCTGTACTCTCTGTTCACCCATGACTGCATGGCCAGGCACGACTCCAACACCATCATTAAGTTTGCCGACGACACAACAGTGGTAGGCCTGATCACCGACAACGATGAGACAGCCTATAGGGAGGAGGTCAGAGATCTGGCCGTGTGGTGCCAGGACAACAACCTCTCCCTCAACGTGACCAAGACAAAGGAGATGATTGTGGACTACAGGAAAAAAAAGAGGACTGAGCACGCCCCCATTCTCATCGACGGGGCTGTAGTGGAACAGGTTGAGAGCTTCAAGTTCCTTGGTGTCCACATCACCAACGAACTATCATGGTCCAAACACACCAAGACAGTCGTGAAGAGGGCACGACAAAGCCTATTCCCCCTCAGGAGACTAAAAAGATTTGGCATGGGTCCTCAGATCCTCAAAAAATTCTACAGCTGCACCATCGAGAGCATCCTGACTGGTTGCATCACCGCCTGGTATGGCAACTGCTTGGCCTCTGACCGCAAGGCACTACAGAGGGTAGTGCGTACGGCCCAGTACATCACTGGGGCAAAGCTCCCTGCCATCCAGGACCTCTATACCAGGCGGTGTCAGAGGAAGGCCCTCAAAATTGTCAAAGACTCCAGTCACCCTAGTCATAGACTGTTCTCTCTGCTACCGCACGGCAAGCGGTACCGGAGTGCCAAGTCTAGGTCCAAAAGACTTCTCAACAGCTTCTACCCCCAAGCCATAAGACTCCTGAACAGCTAATCATGGCTACCCGGACTATTTGCACTGCCCCCCCACCCCATCCTTTTTACGCTGCTGCTACTCTGTTAAGTATTTATGCATAGTCACTTTAACTCTACCCACATGTACATATTACCTCAACTACCTCAACTAGCCGGTGCCCCCGCACATTGACTATGCAACGGTACCCCCCTGTATATATAGCCTCCCTACTGTCACTTTATTTTATTGTATATATAGCCTCCCTACTGTCACTTTATTTTACTTCTGCTCTTTTTTTCTCAACACTTTTTTGTTGTTGTTTTATTCTTACTTTTTTGTTTAAAATAAATGCACTGTTGGTTAAGGGCTGTAAGTAAGCATTTCACTGTAATGTCTGCACCTGTTGTATTCGGCGCATGTGACCAATAAAATTTGATTTGATTTGATGTGAGGAAAAAACAACAGTGGTAGGAAAATGCATCAGGCCTGGACCAAACCAAACCCGGCTAGATAAATACAATCACAAACGCACACCGCCGGCCTTGGAACAAGTGGAAACTGGCTTTGTCATCTTTCCATACAATTAAAGACTTAGGAATGTAATGAAGGCAGAGGTCTTGGCAGTGTAGCGCTGGGCTCTAGGGTTCAGGTCCTGCCATGGGAGCCTTTCTCTCTCTCTGTGTGCGTGTGTCTGTGCGTGTGTCTGTGCGTGTGTGTCTGTGCGTGTGTGTCTGTGCATGCGTGTCTGTGCGTGTGTCTGTGCATGTGTCTGTGCATGTGTGTCTGTGCGTGTGTCTGTGCATGCATGTCTGTGCGTGTGTCTGTGCATGTGTCTGTGCGTGTGTCTGTGCGTGTGTCTGTGCATGCGTGTCTGTGCATGCGTGTCTGTGCGTGTGTCTGTGCATGTGTGTCTGTGCATGCGTGTCTGTGCGTGTGTCTGTGCGTGTGTCTGTGCGTGTGTCTGTGCGTGTGTCTGTGCGTGTGTCTGTGCGTGTGTCTGTGCATGCGTGTCTGTGCGTGTGTCTGTGCATGCGTGTGTCTGTGCATGCGTGTCTGTGCACGTGTCTGTGCGCGTGTCTGTGCGCGTGTCTGTGCGTGTGTGTCTGTGCATGCGTGTCTGTGCGTGTGTCTGTGCATGTGTCTGTGCATGTGTGTCTGTGCGTGTGTCTGTGCATGCATGTCTGTGCGTGTGTCTGTGCATGTGTGTCTGTGCGTGTGTCTGTGCGTGTGTCTGTGCATGCGTGTCTGTGCATGCGTGTCTGTGCGTGTGTCTGTGCATGTGTGTCTGTGCATGCGTGTCTGTGCATGTGTGTCTGTGCGTGTGTCTGTGCGTGTGTCTGTGCGTGTGTCTGTGCGTGTGTCTGTGCATGCGTGTCTGTGCGTGTGTCTGTGCATGCGTGTGTCTGTGCATGCGTGTCTGTGCACGTGTCTGTGCGCGTGTCTGTGCGCGTGTCTGTGCGCGTGTCTGTGCGTGCGTGTCTGTGCGTGTGTCCGTGCGTGCCTTTCAGTGGGTTTCTCTGTCAAGATGTTGGCCAGCGGCAGGTAGACGGGAGAGCCCAGGCAGGCCGGAGATCCTTGGTAATGTTGGAACTTAACATTTTCCTTCAGCCAGGAAAACAGAAAGAGAATCCTTTTATTTGTGTTTACAGAATAGAATACCCTCCAAAGGAAGTCCCATATCAATGTTTTGAATATGATATTGTCTTGTTTGTATGAAAATGGAATTTGTACACGCTCCTGTGTTGTCAGTTAGCTTGTCTATCTTAGATGTCATTGTTGATTTGTGGTTCCCATAAGAGACCCACTGTTATAGCTAACCAACTACTGACTGGCTGTAAAATGAGCGCTATCACATGTGTTATAACACAAAGCCACATCCATAACAGTCAGGAAGCTAGAGGAAAACAGTGTGTGGTGGCACACATTTGATGTC